GGTCACCTGCCACCGCCCACCGAAGTGGGCAACCTCCCTGTGCGTTTCTTAGCTTCGCGCCGGTTGGATTGCCGGGCACTACTGAGCCCCCCCACCACGACAAGGTGAACGCACGTTGGGGGGGGAAGGTCTATACCTACCTCAAGATATCTATACGTATAACTGTTTCTGCTGACCGATTAAACAAACCTTAGACCAAACCCAACCTGAAAAGATAAAATTTTAGGGAACCTGTTCCTCTCCCATAAGATGTCCTTATTAAGTAACGATTTACCTACAATAGTAGACTACCTGCAGAAGGGCTAACAGTGTGTATGAGATACGATATAATTCGGGTACCAAATGAAAAAAATGAAAATATATATAAATAAAAATAGGTATAATAAATACGTGAAAGTATAAATAAAAGGAAAATTTACTTTTTTTATAATAATAATATTTTCTTAAAAGTCTAAAATAGATTTCCTTATACAAATATTAATTTTAGGCATACTATATTATATGTATACATATAAAAAAGTCGAACCTGTACATTAAATATTTTTTTGGAAAATTTTATTGAAATAGTCATTATTACCGATACAGAGACCGAATCAATTGCTTTTAGAATAATTTTGTCAGTCTGTCTGCGAACGCATCACGAGAAACCCACTGAAAGAATTTTGATGAAAAAAATCTACAGATCTCGTGTCTGCCACAACCATCGACCACGTTCATCATTAAATTAACATATTAATTACTAGCAGAACCCGCGGTTTCGCCCGCGTTCAGACTACAAAAAAGTGTTTGGACGCATAAAGATGTTATAACTAATATGTAAATTGATGGAAGAAAGAGAAGAGAAAAGACATTAAAAGAAAGACAGAAGACAGGCGAAGAAGAAAGGTGAAGAAGACACGACTGTTAAACTAACAGTTAAACTAATTGATACTTAAGCTAACTGACAGTTAACATCTCCAGGTAAATTTCTAAGAAATCTATTGTTAACTGACACGCTGGCGTGTCCGCGGTCGTGGAGGGATTAAGCAAACTGAAAGTTAAACAAAAAACAGATAAACAAACAGTTAATGAAACAGTTACACAAACAAACAAATACCTAAGTGTAAATATTATAAAGAAGCAGAATTTGTTTGCTTTTTAAAGAGAAAGGGGGGAGGAGAGGAGAGGAGAGGAAAGAAGAAAACAGGCGAAGAAGATTTGCGAAAAAGAACTGCAAAAGACAGGCCAACTCTCAACAAGAGGCTCCTCTCTCTCCTGTCCTCTCCTCTCCGCTCCGCTCCTCTCCTCCCCCTTTTCTTTTTTTTCTGCATAAAAGATATCCCAAATATCCTAAGCCGAGTAATAACGCGCACACCCAAACAGACATACAGACAAACAGACAAAAATTTTAATAATCATTGTTTTGTGGTCTATATTCTGTAGAACACAATACGTTACAGTCACTCTTTTTAAAAAATATTTCACCTACAGACTTTGCTAAATTACTATTTTATTATATGTATAGATATAAGTTAGTTATTAGTTGAAATACGTATTAATTTATTCACAAAAAATACTTCGTTCAAAAACAAAATCATGCTCCAAAACATTTATTCACCGTCCTTACCGCGCTCACGCACTCTCCTCACGTAAACTCAGCGTCACAAAGGTACAATTTCTGACTAACCCATCAGTGATATGCACCTCAAATATTTTTTTAATGTAGCCCAAAGTCATATTTCTGGGAGTTTATTTTTATTTTTTTGATATATAATTCGTTATCGAGATATTATTTTTTCTGACCGAAACCGAGCGAAAAGCGACTGCATTTTTCACACTTTTTCGATTTAAAAAAAACGCTTTGGAGTGTTTTAAAAATGTTTTTTGCATTTTGTAGTCTTCATTCATACGAATCTTTTAACATCCCAATCAGCCACATAGTCCCAAAATCCACGACACCAGGGCGATATCGCACTTTCGCTGAAAATGGGGCCTATACCGAAGCGACAAAAGAAACATTTTAAATGTTAAAAATCTATACTAAATGTTAATAATAAGTCTTATTTGTATTACGAGTATTATTTCATTGCGTGAAAATTAATTATCTGTTATGTAACACCGTAGCCCGTAAACATCACGTAGGCTACACACTACACAGACCTCTGACCCACGTGTAGGACTGTTATTTGTTTACAACTTATTGGTTTTGGTCACGCTGCACTCAAGGACGTTTTTTTTATTCAAATAATAATTATTATATACAGTTAGATATAACTTCCTGTTTTATCTTCATAAATGTGTACAGCAATTATTATCTACTACATTTATTTTATTTTTGTTGATTGTTTTGATAAATTGTTGTAATATTATTGTATATAAATAAATCTATCCCATGATGGGTCGGTCGGTGTAACCTAAATTAAGGAATCCTTTCTTGAATAAATGACTGATTCCTCAACGTCTTAATGCTACACATTGAGAGCTTAATTATAAAAATCATACCGCATAATACCATGAATTCATATATCATATAGCGGAAGAGTAGTGAAAACATGGATGTAGTGTGGAAACTTCAAGTATAAACTACCCTATTTATTTCATATTTTCAAGAAGAAAATAAATAAAATAATAATATAAAGGTATATCCATACTCCATACAAATCATTAACCAACATCTAATATCTTACATATTAAATGAGCAGTTCTTGTATACTATATATAAATCTATTTCGTGTATCTCGGGAACGGCTCTAATGATTTGAATCTTGTATTTAGATAAGGTTTAGCTTTTTAAGTTTATTTATATATATATATATATATATATATATATATATATATATATATATATATATATATATGTCTTTTCTAATAAACGCCATTTTCATATATTTCCCGAAAAACGCCGAGCGGAGCTCTGTCGCCTTCCATTACCTAGGCGACATACCGACCTTTAAGTTAATGCGGTGTGAATTTAGTCAACTTATTATTTACTAGCATTGCCCGCGGCTCCGCCCACGTTCAAATGAGAAAAAAACAAATTCTTAGATTTTACATATTTACTAATATACTCTTACATTAAAATTTTTGTATTTTTTCTCAGAAATAAGACATTTTCCCGCGGTAAAAAGTATCCTATATGTTGACCCGGATAACTACCACCACCACCAGCTACCACCATACTAAATTTCATCAAAATCCCTCCAGTGGTTTTTCTGTGATGCGGTAACAGACAGACAGACAAGAATTCTGAACACTATAGATTCGGCGTCTGTATCGATAATAATGTCTATTTCAATAAGAATTTCCAAAAAATATTTAATGTACAGATTCGGCTTAATTAGAATTTTATTATATGTATAGATTGACGACTCAACCTCGCTTCGCTCGGGTTGGTCCCTAAGTTGGTTGTATGTATACAAACGTTATCCTCATTTTCACAGCCTTAAGGGATGATTTCCGGGATAAAAACTATCCTATGTCCTTTGCAGCCTCTCTAACTATCTTCTAACCAAATTTCATCTTAATCGACCTAGTAGTTTCGGAGCTTGTTTGGTACAAGCAAACAAAAACATTTTTGCTCTTTATAAAATTAGTATAGATTTACACATTCTCTATAATATAATTAAGCACCTCGTCTGTTGTTACGACGCTCTTAACAACAGCCATAATTACCACACAATTGAGGATAACATACTTAGCTTTCTCCTTTAGAAATTTCATAGAAAAATAACTTTTATTATGATAATGAAAAGGACGAAATTGACACTAAGTTCCCTCCTATCGGAGGGGAGTGATAAAAGGTTATCAACGGTCATTTGAATGAAAAAATGTACCAGACGATTGGGATGTTATTTTTTATATATAAAAAAATAAATGTGTGTATTTATTTATGATTGTATGTTAAGTAAATAAGAATACTTGGCAAAATTAAAAATACTATGCGCTTACTAAATATATAATACGTATGTAAACAAAAGGAAATAACTGGCTAGCGTTTGTCCTTCTGTCTACACATACTATGTGCGCGCCAATCTCGTAAACTACTGAACAAAGGATGATATATTTGACAGTTTGTTTGTTACGTTCCATATTTCTATAGGAACAATGTGCTGTACTTAAAATGCCCTTGCACTCATGAAACCTGAGCATTGTTGCTTTATCGACGTGTGCTGAGTTACGAATATGGGTTGGTTACGTATGGGTATTTGTGAAAAGAACATGAGGAGTTTGAAGATCTGTAATAGTTCTACGAAAACGCAGTAATTGCGTTAATGTTTAAAAAGTATTATTTGAAATAATTTTTTTTTAGATATCCTTACGCGTTAGATAAAATGTGCCCTTTACAGTAGCTAGATACGAGTTTGTCATTTGGATATGCATATAGTACGAGATAATGAAAACTGTATCGCCACGCACCAGGGAGAAGATGCGCGGGCACGTCACTAGTTAATAAAAAGATACTCGACATATTTATCATATTTTTTTTATTTTACTATAATTATAAATATGAAAGCTTAGGTGTTTGTTACTCAATCACGCCAGAACGGCTGAACGAATCTAGATGAAATTTGGCACAGAGATAGATTATAGTCCGGAATAGCAAATAGACTACTTTTTATCCCTGAAAAATGTACGCTTCTCTTGGGATAGATTTGTTATATGCAACTGCCCGAAAACACTTTATAAGTTAATCTCCTAAACCCTTCACCTAAGCCGTCAATCACGTTTGCTTCTTTTATTTTGTAATGTAAATCCCATGGAATGTAGACCCAACGCTGCGCCGTAACACCGCCATATATTTTTTACTTTTTATTTTTTATAGATGAATACACTTTCAAGATGCAACACTTTTTTATTTAAATAACAACCTGTTTCTTAGATTACTGTATATATACTACAGTAACTTTTCTAATTTTTACCATTAAATAATAAAGAAATAAATAGAAAAGAATAAAAAAAAATTAGTTTCTACTCCAAAAAATTATTAATATATTAATAATTATTGTATATTTTTAATTTACCTTTATTTGATTTTGAACACTGGTATTGGAAAGGACAGCCGCAGATCTCTCCACATTCAACGCGGCCGATCGAAATCCAAGCCTCATAATTGAAAAAGCCATTTTGTCACTAAAATTTACCTAACTACATTTAAAACTTAAATATCAGTTCGATTAATATAAATATTCCTTATTCGAAATCAATTCACAATCAGTTAAAATGTCAGTATGCGCGCGCGCAACTAAATGATTTAAAATTTGGATGCATTCGGTTTTATTGGACGGTAAATAAGGGAGGGGAGGGCTAGTTAAGAGAGATTAAAAGAATATTCGTAGAAATAGTAAAAAATAGTAATATAGCCCTTAACGAAATGTAATACAGAAGCTATTTACGTGTATAACTTTGGCAAATTCTTCTAAACATGACAGCAACTTGTAGCATAGCACAGTGTTTATGTTTACCGGCGCTCTGTTTGTATACGGTCCTCAAGCGATTCTAGTCTTTAAATTAGAGGCCCTTAATAAAGGTTTACTATATATTTTTTGTTATAGATGATAAAAATTCGAACACGTTTTTCGATAGTTATATTGACATTGATTGTTACCGAGTTTTGTCTACGCATACGGTCACACGTAGGCCTCGTAATTGTAATTTGGGTTAACTGCTTCTCATATTGTACAGATAAAGTAATTATAAGTAATGTGTAATGATAATGGATATGCGATTTATTAATAGTTTTTCCTTATTTGTTTTATAAGAAATCTGTTTAATTATAACATGCTTGTTAGAACTTAGAATCAAGTAGTTATTTAAAATATTTTTTGCATTTTAATTTAGCCTCGTAATGTTAATCCGGCTTAAAGGACCAAAATATGTAGGATGATTATCTGAAAAATGTTACATTTAGTGAAAATGGACCTTAAGCAATTCACTGGCTTTTAACAATTTTCGTTATATTTTTGTTATTTTAACGTCCAATTAATTAGTCGTCATTCATGATTTTTTTAACGATTCTTTAACGATATCTTTAATACATGGCCGTAAACACGTAGACGACGTAGTCCTAACTACAAATCGATTGTAATTAATGATTTATATTGTTTGGCTTATAACTGGTTCTATTACAAAATCTAATGGGTATTTTGTAAAACTTAATGATTAATCTAAAACATCATCAGTCAGGTTACGTGCTTGCAAGCATTTCTAGTTTTTGAACTACATATGACTTATACAGGCTTAAAATTTTGTTAGATATGTCACTTATGGATAAATGGAGGTACTTAAGGTAGTATAAAAGATTAACATCTTCCGATTAGTCAGGATCTAATGGATTATAGGTTTGAAGTTTAACAGGCAAAGTTTTGCTGAACACAGAGAGAGAGATACGCAAAGTATAAATTGCGTATTAAGTAAAATTAAATTATAAGAAAATAAAATAAAATTTTATTCAATTACACTTTTAAAATCACTTTAGAATTGTCAACTTAATATTTATTAAATATTCAAGAGAAGAGATGTGAGGAATCTAAGTACCTACTTCCTCGAAAAGCAGTCCTTCTGAGAAGAGCCAGCGAGAAACTCAACAGTTGCTCTTTTAAATCAGTTTACAATATTTTTAATACGAAATAAGAGGCGCTTCTATAAAAAAACTCTGTAGTAATAAAGCTTTATTAATAAAGTTATAACTAAGCCGAATCTGTACATTAAATATTTTTTTGGAAAATCTTATTGAAATTAACATTATTATTGATACAGAGGCCGAATCTATAGTTTTTAGAATTTTTGGCTGTCTGTCTGTTACCGCATCACGGGAAAACCACTAAAGGGATTTTGATGAAATTTAGTATGATGGTAGCTGTTTATCCGGGTCAACATATAGGATACTTTTTACCGCGGGAAAATGAGAACAAATACAAAATGTAAGAGTATACTAATATGTAAACCTAAGAATTTGGTTTTTCGTCATCTGAACGCGAACAGAGCCGCGGGTAATGCTAGTTATCAATAATACCTATGTATTAGTGTATACTCGTATAAGATTTAGACAAATTTTGTTTTCCTCAATATAATATCATCTTATAAATATTGATTTAAGGCATACCTATTTGCACTAATTTAGGATAGCCAAGAGTGAGCGCCTTATCTATAGTACTAATATTATAAATAGGCAGAGTTTGTTTGTTTGAACGCGCTAATCTCAGGAACTACCAATCCGATTTGAAAAATTCCATAAAAAACTAAATTTCAGCAACATTGGCGGCTTAGGCGTAAAACGTAACAGACAGAGTTACTTTTGCATCTATAATAATATTAAGTATGGGTTTATTGAAGAAGATTATTTATGCTAATATTATAAATGTGAAAGTTTGTAAGTATGGAAGTTCCAAGTTTGTTCCTCTTTCACGCCAGAACGGCTGAACGGATGCATGAAATTTGGCACGTAGATAGATTATAGTCTAGAATAACACATAGGCTACTTTTTATTCCGGAAAAATATACGGTTCTCGACAGATAGATTTGTTTTTGTTCCTCAGAGGTAAACCTGAGCGAAGCGAGAGTGAGCCGCTAATAGAATATAATTTGTACGAATATAGATACATAATCGAACTACGGGGACAGAGCCGCGGGAAATGCTAGTGACAATAAAATAAAAATAATACTTTCATGGTAATTTCTACAGAAAGCAATTTTGTTATCATGTGAAACACTAATTGACTGCGATTAGTGTGGATGTAACCTTAGACGTGTGCTCTAAATCCATTATCACGTGGCGCCTGTCATTAGTCTTCTTAAGATTCTTCTAGACTAGTTAAATAGCGTTAAAATATATATGACTACTAGTTTTTGTCCGCGGCTGTGTGTGGTAGGAAAATCGACATGTGGTAACCGCTGGATATCATATCATATCTATAGGGTAAAACCCAGATAGTCACCTCAGTTGGATGCATGCCCCGGTTTTCAATATTAGAGATGTCTTTGATGTTAGCGCTCTTCTGTAATTTGAAGGGCCTCTTCCACAGACCTTAGGACGATGCCAGTAGTGGAACTAGGTAAACGTGTTTTGTCCATGTGAGCGAAAATCTTTCGCGGCAGGACGTTAACGAGGGTTGAAATTATATTCGTGTGTATTTTCTATTGAATATTTTTTTACAGTTGTCGATTCAGTCAACTTTTTGCTTCTACGCGTGTACTGAAGCTTAAGTTACACTACATATTACCTTAAACTGTCGAATGACATTTATTTTTATTTTTCAAAATATAAGGGCAAGTATCCGTACCGAAAAGGATAGTCGCCCCACATAATTGCGCGGATAGTCGCCCTAAGGAGAAATGCCTCGCAAATATGGGTAAGAGCTTAGCATGTCTAAAAGAGCTAAACAATCTGCAGAAGTTTTAAATTTCAACGAAAAAATTGTCCAAAAACAGGATAAAGAAGAAGAAACAAACATTACAAAAAGAACTTGAATAGAGACAACGAAATAAAAAGATTTTAAGACAGTAAAAAATAAATCAGATGATATCGAGATGATAATTATGAAGAAAAGAGGTCGAATCGATAGTAAAAAACCAAAATATATGACGATTTCTCTTGCAATGAAACAGAATTTGAAAACATAGATTTTATTAAACTGAGCGGAGAAAGAGCCCTAAGGATGACAAATAACAAACTTATAGTTCCGAGAGTGAAAATGAAAAAAACATTATAAATACGAAAATAGCCAAAGAAAAAGCTTTAGTAGCTTTTTCTTTGGCTAGGAGTACAAAACACGAAGTAAGAAATAAGGATGATAAAAGAGACTGAAAAGACAGTAAATGTTATTAGCATTAATACAAAAATAGGAAAAGCGAATGATAAAGTTTCGGTTGATGATTATTGTAAATGTTTTGAAAATTACAATACTAAATCCAAATTATACTGGATTGTATTTCCAGGAAACTTGTTCATCATTCAAAGAATATTTTGTGACATGTGGAAAATTAAAAGTTACGACTTCGTAATTGATGATGATTTTTAAACTGTTTTTGGTGATATACCTGGGTAATTCTATTCTACAGCAAAAAAAGTGTGCGTTGGGAAAATTAACATGAATTAATTTACTTTATGGTCTCATTTTTAGCTTTTATAAAGGATCTCAATCGTAATTTTCATTAGGTGCAATAAATTAGTTATAAATTTTTATTTTTCAAAAAATTTTAAGGGTCGGAATTGCTAATTGTCATGTCCTGTTATCTGTGGCTTTCATATGTTGTAACATTTAGGTGACTTTAAAAAATATTATTATTAAGTCTTTTAACCTGTCACTATTATAATTAGTTTTGAAATATAGTCCAGTTAATGATACTTAAAGCATATAAAATTGAGCGAAGCACACGAAAAGTTATACATGATTCTACTTGTGTTACAAAATATTTGTCATTTCTGTTATCAGGGGTAAAAATTTAAAAAAAATCTAGTAACATTGCTTAGCTTGGTTAAATTCAAGTAAGTTGCAACATTACGTTACCTGTCATTTAGATGGCGGCTTCAGAGTGAAAAGAGTTTTATTCGTTTTTTAATAAAAAAATAATATATTTGTAATTTTCACTGTGTAAAAGTTCGTGCGTCATCTCTGCTTAAGCTGTGCAAAGGTAAGGTTTTTGAAATTAAATGTAAAATCACTCGGCTTGTATAGGTTTTGATGTTTCATATGATACTAGTGGAGTAAAAGTGTTTGACTTTGTTATCAAGAGAAATATGGCGGGTAAACCTACGTTCCGTCATTTCCGTGATCGTCACGCCTGTTATGACTTATGAGCATGATAACAGAAATGATGTACGATCACTGAAGTGACAATTTGGATTTTTTTATTGTTATATTTAAATGTTTGGGAATAATATTAATTAAATATTGGTGATATTGCTACTTTGATATAAATAGGTATTTAAAACTTATATTTATGACGAAATATTGCTTGTGGAAATGATTAATAGACGATAGGAGTTTATAGATAATTTTTGTTATTTTTAGCTGCAACGTGGCTCCAAATGCAAGACAAAATAAGAAAACTAAAAAAAATAATTCACAGAAACGTAGAGAGCAAGTAAAACACGCCATGAGGCGACACCGACAGAAGTTATCAGAAGAACAACTGGAACAAAGGCGAAAAAAAGACAGAGAACGATACAACCGAAAAAAAGAACAGGGATTGATAAGTAACATCAATGAATTAATACCTCGAGCTCAAAAAATAATAATACAGCAGTGGAAAGAAAGACCGAAAAAATATCGTGATAAGAAAAAAGCAATGGAACAAATTCGTCAACAAACTGAGGATTTTGTTGAAAATGACACTCTTCCAGATAGCCCTACATCTTCTAGTTCTAGATCAAGAGCAGAGTCTGGTTGGAAGATAGGAGAAAAGAACAAAAGACGTTTAAAATTAGAGAACGTTTTGCTGAGAGAAAAACTGCGAATAATGGAGATAAGACTGAAGAAGTACAAAACGCGTTGTAACAGCGTTGTACATTTCGTGGAATCTGACTCTATCATAACTCCATTTTGCACAATTTCTGAAAATCTCAGGCATGACCCAGTATTGATTTGCAATCATTTACTACCAGTTATTAAAATAATCAAAGGTTTATGTTCTACCATAAAGACCATGCATTTTGTTAGTGATGGACCATCTTCGCAATATCGAAATAAATCAATGTTTTTCTTGATGGCTAATTTCCTTGCTGTAAATTTAGACGTCAAAATCTAGTGTGGCATTACAATGAAACTGGACACAGCAAAGGATCACCTGATGGAATTGGCGCAACCATAAAACGGACAGCAGATCAATCGGTAGCCAGAGGTTATGACGTGGCTAATTTTCAACAATTGGTTCAATGTTTGATAAAAAACTGCAAGGGTGTACAAATTTTACCTGTAGATGATGACAATGTTGCGACCATTGAACATTTGCTGTCAAGAAGTTTGGCGCAAACGTTTAAAGGTACATTCACCATACACCAAGTAGCTTGGAACAAAAATAGCCCGGGTCTTCTTAATGCTCGAAAATTAAGTTGCACTGAATGTCATCCACATCAAATCTGTCGACATTATGAAATAGGTATAATCAATACAGAAGCCATTCGTGACAGCTTCGATGAAGGTGAAGTTTTTCCTTCCTCGTCACATAGTGATCATACATTAGATACTTCAGACAAAAAAACATATAAGAAAGCTCGCGCATCAGAAAGCAGTTCTCCTCCTTGTACCGAATCTTTAATACGATTTGATAATTCTCACTCAGTTCGTCGTATTCTACAGGAACCCAATCCTTTCCTAATGGCTAGCTCGTCTATTCTTAAAGAAAGAAAATGCTCGACACTTTTTGATGATTCTGAGTGTAATGATAGTTGAATGATTCACGTTTTTTTGAACAGCCCGGATCTTCTCACAGAAATACCGTATTATGTGTACTTGACGATGACAATCTGTCAAATTTTGATTATTCAGATCATGAAAATAAACCTGTTGCGGTGTCGGTTCTTTGAAAACGCAGCCGAAACTTTTACTACAATTCTTCTTCAGATGAGAGAGTTGAAAAAGAAATAAAGAGAAAAAAATATATAGATCGAATATTTACTTCTGAATTTGAATCGGAAGTACGAAAGCCAAGAAAGTGTCTCATATTACACAGTTCTTCAGAAGAAAACATTTTTTAACTTCCTGGTTAATCTTCTTTTTTAAATTTTTGCTTTACTTGTTACGTAACAAAAAAGAACTCTTTAATGAGAGGTATTTTTGCGTTTGATTAGCCTGAATTTTCGACTAGGTTGCATCGCCGTTTTGCGACCTCCTGACCGATACTTTAAGATTAAATTGTTTATTGCGTTGAAAGCTTAATTTATTTATTGCGTTAAAATTGATCTCAATTAATTTAAACTTTGTAATATTTAAGAAAAATATATAAATTAATGCATAACAAGTCCTTTGTTATGTTTTAAACTATTTTGTAATTATAGAATTTTGAGCTATTATATCGTATCTAAATGTTGCTAGATGATAACAGACAGGACGTCATTTATGTGATCACATCTTTGATATTTTTTTTTACCTATTGTTATTAATTTTGTCGATGATTATTTTGTTTTTGTTTAACGTGGGGGCTGTTTTTCTAATATACCCTGTAGTGAATCTTCTTCAATATCTTTAAGTGCTATTTTATTAGAAAATCGTCATAACTGTGATGTACTGCTTCAACTCTGTTATCACCATTTTTCAATATCAATCGTTTTATTCAAAAATTAATAGAACACGACCTCTACTTCTAATTTTTATTGTGATTATTTGTGATATTAAATAAAATAAAAGTGAGAAAACCGTAAAATTCAAGATTTTTTTTTTTAATTTTTTTTTTCTCTCCAAAAGTAGAATGACCCACCTATAATAACCTACCCACTAATTTTAATATCTGTGTCAAAGTTGATTGCCATATTGTATTTATCTTTAAAGATAATTATTATGTATAACGTAAATTTTGGAGATTTTATTTGTATTTTAAAAGTTGTATTGATTTCGATTAGAACATACCTACTACTTAATTAATTGATGTTAATAATTAATAATGTTTGATTAAATTTACATAAATTTGTTTAAATACAAAAAAAATTGCAACAATTTCATGATGAGTCTTCTATCCCTGCATGAGGCAAGTATCCCCCAAAGCATTTTTAACATAAGGCAACTATCCGCCACAGAGGGCAACTATCCCCTTTTGTAGAGGTCAAATAAAACAGGATTTACTGAAAAACAATATTGATTGTGGTTAAAAAAATATAATGAAAGATTAAAGACCAATGTTTTTTTATATACGGGGCATATTGTATGTAGATACTTATCTTTTATGTAATTGGAGATTTTCAAAAAGTGAGGCAACTACCCGGCTTTTACCCTATAGAGCACTGTAAAGAAAAAAGCGGCCAAGGGCGAGTCGGACTCGCACACGAAGGGTTCCGTAACATCATACAAGATATCTATATAGACATACGAATATATAGATCATCGTCATATATCAATTTTCAGACAATTTGCACACAACCTTAATGAATTATACACCTAAACCTTCCTCATAAATCATTCCATCTATTGTTAAAAACCTTATGAAAATCCGTTCAGTAGTTTTTGAGTTTATCGCGTTCAGACAGACGCGGCGAGGAATTATATTTTATAATATGTAGTGATAAAATAAGTAATACTTTATTATTTCTAAATTAAATAATTTATCTTCCATATAAATAAAAATGAATGTTTGTAAGTTTGTCCTCTATGTCATGTGTTCCTAAACCATGGATCCAATTGTGATGAAACTCTAGTGGGCTATTTTGTATACCGGCAAAGGGTCATGGGGCAAAAAAAATTTTTGGACGTTTGAACTTTTCAATTCTCTAGTGAAAAATAAAATAAAAATTAACATATTACTAAAATTTATTGAAATACAATAAAGTTATTTTAATTAAAATTGCTTATATATTGTTTATATAAAAAATTGTAGAACTAAGCTTGAAGGAAATGTAATAATTTTTTACAGTTAAATTAACATTCCTGGTAAAAAACTAAAAGATTCTGATGAAGAAAAAAAAACACATGTACAAATTTAAACAATTCATCTTATAGGTAGAATGAAAGTAACAAAGTTTTATATATTTATATTTTATATGAATTACGCTTTCTTATATTCAATCCTTTCTACTTTCACTTCATCTCCGAGAAGTTTGTATACATATGTAACCACTGTTGAGCTTTGGATATCCATTAACACAAACGATGGAGTTGCATTCCTGGAAAATGTATTTTTTTTAATTATTGGAAATAAATGTTATGAAATGTTCTATTATTTTGTTTAAACAATTTGTATGTATGTATACAAATTGGTTAAAATAACATAATTTAACTACATATTTGAATATTCATTTAGCAATTTTAGTGTAAGGTTTATATTTTTATTATATTTTTTTATATGTTTATTATATTTTTTCTCCACACTTTGAAAATTAAAAGACAAATTATCATACAAAATAAACATGTGTCTGTACTTATGTACGCATGTAAGAAGTTATACTTCTTTGGTGTTGCAGAACAAAAGTAACTAAAGATTTTATCCTGTATGTCACAACTCTCTGTTTGTAAAAGGAATGCAGCTAACTTCATCATGTCGCTTTTTGGCTGTCTGTCGGTGTGTGCATGCATTGTAAAAAAAATTCTCTCATATTTTTTTGCAAACGAGCCAAAGGAAGTATTACTTCAAACAATATAATACTTTCTTAGATTTACGCGAATGTTTGACATTATTAAATAAAACTATCTTTTCGGATTATTTCGCGGATTTATTTTGATTTTTGGTTCCCGACGTTTCGAATGCTTTACAGCATCCATGGTCACGGGAGAGACTGAGGTGTTACATGTCTTAAAGATATAGTTGTTACAGACAGCCTACCCACAATCAACAAAATGAAAATTGCACCAATTACATTATAATATTTTAACTTTAAACATTTTTATAATTTTAATTATAATTGAATATGGAAAATTATTTATTTAATTTTTGCTATTATTTTTATAATTATTACAATTTTAAAAATATTAATTAGTAATCTATAATTAGTGTTGCCATTATTATATTTATAACCATAAAGAAAAATATAAAATATAGTATTAATTATTTAAGCCATATAATTGTTCAATGTGTAATTTAAAAAGTTAAAATTAATTAAGGATTATAATTTTAATTTAGTTTGCTATTATTTAAAAACAACTTACTAAGCAACACTATTAATATATACTTTTACAAATGAAAAAATGAAAAATATTAATCTGATAAGCTGTCATTTTGATCTACACAGTATGAACTTACTACATCTGCCTGTCTGTTATGTTTATATTTATTATTTGATTTTATTATATTAATAACAGGATCCCATGACGATGGTAGTACCCAGCCATCTTCCCTATTGAAATTTGGATGTTTTTTAATTTCTATGGCTTCTCGAATCATTCTAGGGCGATATCGGTTTTCTTTCGCCAGGATTTGAGGTCTATCGAAACGAATATAATGGCTTGGGCGGTCCTGGCTATGTTTGCAGACAGCAGATGTTGTATTGCGACGGTGCTTCACATCAGCTATGTGTTCTTTGACCCGGGTTCTAATGGATCGCTTTGTTTGTCCAATGTAAGAGAGCCCACAATCACAATCAAGCTTGTAAACTCCTGCATCTTGTAGAGGGATGTGGCACTTGACAGGTGGTAAGAACTGACTAATTTTCTTTGGCGGCTTGAAGTAAGTTTTAATTGAAGCTCGCTTTAGAATGTAGCCAATCTTGTCAGTGACTCCTTTCATGTATGGCAAGACTGCAGGGACGCGCTCGACTGTGGCTGGTTTTACTCGGTCACTGTGACGCAGGCGCGGCACTTGCAGCTTGTTGTCACGCAGAACTTGCTTGACATGTTGCAGTTCTCCGGCCAGGTGTTGCTCGTCACAGATCCCGCGCGCTCTCTGAAACAAAGATTTTCCCACGGTAGCTAACTGTGAAGGATGGTGGTGAGATTCACCGTTCAGGTACCTATCAGTATGGGTCTTCTTTCTATACACAGTATGACTCAAGGTGTTATCTGTGTTACGTTTAACTAATACATCTAGGAAAGCTAAGGTATTGTCTGATTCTAATTCCATTGTGAATTGTATTTTAGGATTTATAGAATTAAGGTGTTCTAAGAATACAGTTATTTTATCAGATGGTAATATTGTGAAAGTGTCATCTACATACCGCTTGTAGAAACGAGGGGTCACGGGTGATGTGTTCAGAGCAGTCTCCTCGAAGTCCTCCATGAAGATGTCGGCTACGACGGGGGAGACTGGCGAACCCATGGCCACTCCATCCACTTGCCTATAGAATTCACCATTCCACAGTAGATAGCCAGATGTTAGGCAGTGTTTTAAAAGTTCAATGTATTCTATTGACATGTTGTGATCTAGTAGCTTCCTAGATATTATTTCAATACAGTCTTCCACTGGTAGGCTGGTAAATAAAGACTGTACATCGAAACTAACCATTGTTTCATTGTCCATGAGTTTTAGGTGTTTAACTTCATTGACAAAATGGTAAGAGTCCTTTGTGAACGCTCTTGTTAATCCTCTGAGTGGTGAGAGTGCTTTTGCTACTAGTTTAGCCAATTTGTAAGTCGGTGAGTCGATCTGACTCACAATTGGACGTAGCGGAGCGTTAGTCTTGTGTATTTTCGGAAGTCCATACAACTTAGGTGGTTTTGCACATGATGGAATAAGATTTTTAACATCAAGATTTAATGTGTCGGAGTGTTCCTTAATTAGCTTTTTAGTACTATTTAAAACGGTGGTAGTTGGATCCGTTTTAACCTTTTTGTACGTGCTCTCGTCCGACAAAAGTTGTTTTATTTTATCATTATAATCTGATGTATCCATCACAACGGTTGCATTTCCTTTGTCTGCGCGTAGAACGGTGATATCTGACCTATTGCGTAGGTTCTTCAACGCTAAATACTCTTGTTTATTGAGGTTTGGTTTGGGCCTAGTACTACGACGTAATAAAGACGAAACATCTTGACGTATGGCCTCCATATCCTCAGTTTTCATAATGTTTTGGGCCAGGGCATCTTCAACTGCGCAAATAATGTTTTCATAAGGAATGCGCGTAGGCGTTACAGCAAAATTCAAACCTTTATTTAGTACCCGAATAGTAGGTTCGTCCAACGTTTGTTTTGACAGATTGACAACAGCTTGAGGTCCGCACGAGTGTGTATCTGTGGTAGACGGGCGCGTTCCGTTACACTCTATGGTTTTCTTTTTCTTTTTGATGTTTAATTTTTCAACGAGTTTTTGATATTTTAAAATATGTTTAATTTTGCACTGATTATATTTGGTTGTTTCACGCTTATTTAAAGTGTCAATGCAATCGTTGAAATCAGATGGTGTCAATACTGTCTTAACAATATTAGACGTCTGTTCAATGTCCCGGTCGTTTCTGCGTAGATCGCGGCGATTTTGTCGAATCACTGTCCGTAACAACTTAAAACTTGCCTGGTTTACGATCTTAGCGCTTCCTCGTATGTTCTTTTTGGAAGATATTTTCACACACGTAGGAATGAGACGATGATCACGACATCTCTTCAAGAAAGTTAACGATGTTAATAATCTTGCGCGCTTTGTCTTTAGATCTTCTAACCGGCGTATCTTGTTTGCGGTTTCCAGTCCGTACTGGTTCACATAATACTTTCTTAGATTTACGCGAATGTTTGACATTATTAAATAAAACTATCTTTTCGGATTATTTCGCGGATTTATTTTGATTTTTGGTTCCCGACGTTTCGAATGCTTTACAGCATCCATGGTCACGGGAGAGACTGAGGTGTTACATGTCTTAAAGATATAGTTGTTACAGACAGCCTACCCACAATCAACAAAATGAAAATTGCACCAATTACATTATAATATTTTAACTTTAAACATTTTTATAATTTTAATTATAATTGAATATGGAAAATTATTTATTTAATTTTTGCTATTATTTTTATAATTATTACAATTTTAAAAATATTAATTAGTAATCTATAATTAGTGTTGCCATTATTATATTTATAACCATAAAGAAAAATATAAAATATAGTATTAATTATTTAAGCCATATAATTGTTCAATGTGTAATTTAAAAAGTTAAAATTAATTAAGGATTATAATTTTAATTTAGTTTGCTATTATTTAAAAACAACTTACTAAGCAACACTATTAATATATACTTTTACAAATGAAAAAATGAAAAATATTAATCTGATAAGCTGTCATTTTGATCTACACAGTATGAACTTACTACATCTGCCTGTCTGTTATGTTTATATTTATCACAGTGACCGAGTAAAACCAGCCACAGTCGAGCGCGTCCCTGCAGTCTTGCCATACATGAAAGGAGTCACTGACAAGATTGGCTACATTCTAAAGCGAGCTTCAATTAAAACTTACTTCAAGCCGCCAAAGAAAATTAGTCAGTTCTTACCACCTGTCAAGTGCCACATCCCTCTACAAGATGCAGGAGTTTACAAGCTTGATTGTGATTGTGGGCTCTCTTACATTGGACAAACAAAGCGATCCATTAGAACCCGGGTCAAAGAACACATAGCTGATGTGAAGCACCGTCGCAATACAACATCTGCTGTCTGCAAACATAGCCAGGACCGCCCAAGCCATTATATTCGTTTCGATAGACCTCAAATCCTGGCGAAAGAAAACCGATATCGCCCTAGAATGATTCGAGAAGCCATAGAAATTAAAAAACATCCAAATTTCAATAGGGAAGATGGCTGGGTACTACCATCGTCATGGGATCCTGTTATTAATATAATAAAATCAAATAATAAATATAAACATAACAGACAGGCAGATGTAGTAAGTTCATACTGTGTAGATCAAAATGACAGCTTATCAGATTAATATTTTTCATTTTTTCATTTGTAAAAGTATATATTAATAGTGTTGCTTAGTAAGTTGTTTTTAAATAATAGCAAACTAAATTAAAATTATAATCCTTAATTAATTTTAACTTTTTAAATTACACATTGAACAATTATATGGCTTAAATAATTAATACTATATTTTATATTTTTCTTTATGGTTATAAATATAATAATGGCAACACTAATTATAGATTACTAATTAATATTTTTAAAATTGTAATAATTATAAAAATAATAGCAAAAATTAAATAAATAATTTTCCATATTCAATTATAATTAAAATTATAAAAATGTTTAAAGTTAAAATATTATAATGTAATTGGTGCAATTTTCATTTTGTTGATTGTGGGTAGGCTGTCTGTAACAACTATATCTTTAAGACATGTAACACCTCAGTCTCTCCCGTGACCATGGATGCTGTAAAGCATTCGAAACGTCGGGAACCAAAAATCAAAATAAATCCGCAAAATAATCCGAAAAGATAGTTTTATTTAATAATGTTCAAACAATATAAATAAGTAAATCAAAAAATAATATGAATTAACCACATTAAGGATAAGATTAAAGAAATTATTTTATTTTTAATACGTATATATGTACTTCTTTTAACATTTAAGAGTATTTACAAAATAATAAAGTATATTTTCTATAATCACCTATATAGTGGACTATAAGCACCAGTCGCTGAGCCAGGGTTAATATAAAACTTGTTCTCATGCTCATATGCTTCAAAGCGATGTGTATGGCCTGATATTAATATATCAACATCTAGCTGCCTCTGTACGAGTGCCAGAGACTCTTCATCACCCCAAGGTACCACTTGATGACCATGGATCAAACCGATTCGGAACTGACCAACAGTTATTACTTTCTGTTCTGGGTATGTAGAATTCTACAAACAACAAAATTTACTTATATTTAAAACGAAGATATTTTATATTATAAATAATATTTTTTAAATAATAAATAATCAAAATATGGCTAACCTCATCAAAATCACCTCTAACAACATGTACATCACTAGCCAGCGTTTTTAAATAATCATAAGACTCCTTTGTACATAAGTTGCCTGTGCATAGTATATGTTGTATGCGGCCAGGTAACAATAGTTTCTTAAATTTAGGAGGTAAACTGCTACAACGGTGTGGAATGTGAAGATCACCAAGTACTAAAACCAGCTGAAAATCCAAAAAAATATAATTTTTAATATACATAATTTTTAATGGTATGTATGTAATAATATAATTGTACATTTCCATTTTATTCAAAAATAGATTCGGTTTTAATAGTATCGTCCAAAACTATTGTATAACATCAATCAATTAATATTATAACAATTCAGCCTCTTATCCCTATTACAGCTTACCATTATGTCAATGATTTTTAACAATATTTACAATATAATATTTGCAAATAAATTCTATCAATGACTAATAGATTGTTGCTTAGTTTTATAAATCGTATAGATTAGGTAATTAAGAGAAATTGTTATTTAATTTTTAGTTTACTCCCACTTACTAACGACAACAAGAAACAAAACTGACATTGACATTTGAGGTTCATTCATGATTGTTCAACACTTGAAATTATTATTGCTATACTTAAAAAATATAGTTCAAACCGTAAGAAAACTTTTACTTAGCTTTTTCGCTCAAAAACTGATTTTTATAGTCAAAATAATTAAAAGCAATACTCAACTAAAATTCTAAATGGATTACTAATTTGAGTCAAGCAACCTTGTAGCAATAACATTCAATCACCGTATAAGTATGTAATTAACATAAATAAATATTCTATTAATTTATGTAGGTCTTTCCTATTTACTTTTTACTACTATTAATGTTGTCTATGTATAATTGGTTGCCAGAATAATAAAATCAGTAAAAAATTGGGTAAAATTTAGTAAAATACTACTATCGGTATTAAGGTCTAAAAAAATGTACTTTAAATAACAGATCAATCCATTACCCGTTTTATTTTTAATATATTATTGTTTCTCTTATTGACAAAAAATCGTTCAATAATATAACCTTTTGTTTTTAACTCCCGAATCCCAATTAAAACGCGTGCGTGCGTGCGTGTATCTGTGGCATCGTAGCTCCCGAACGGATGTACCGATTTTGATTTAGTTTTTTCTTGTTTGAAAGGTAAGGATCTGTAAGTATTTGAATTATAAAAATAAAATTACATTTCAATTACATAAATACAAAGAAATATATAAAAAATTATATAGAAAAAAAGCAGGAAATATGTCTATTTTATAATTTTGATCAATATTTATATAATGTGCGTATTTCTATACGACATAATAAAATACTATCAAATTAATTTCGACTTAATTATTTCTCATTTATTTTGTTTGTTTAAAACTGTCATTACTGAAAATAATGAAAATTATGTCATTCTAATGAGTTCATGTTCGTTAAATAATAAATAATGATATAGTATTTTCTTTTTTTCGATAGTTAATAAATTCTTCATTTCCATAAGAAAAGTTGGATTACTTTCAGTGGTAACTGGTAAGCTAATTCTTTAGGCTTGCAACACTGCATAGCACGTCACTTTCCTCTATTGTCTTTGCTTGCATCAGAATTGAAGAATTTCATGGTGTTGTGGGTGACACATATACGTAGTAAAATTTTAGTGTAAGACACCAAATTGGCACCAACTGCTGGGATATGGAATCAATGGAATATGAGCTCGCTAGAAACCTCACTCTATTGTTCTTCGTGGAGCGCCTGCTCGATAAAGGCGAGCCGAGAACGTTGCACGATCTTTCCTGCCAGTTTGGTGCCAAGGGTTTCACTAAGGAGATGCGTCAGATCGCAGGCGGGTCGCAATCGGGCCTTAAGAAGTTCTTGGCCCAATATCCGGCGTTGTTCAACATAGACGGGGACTATGTTGATATTAACACATTTCAAAGGCACCCGAGCGGCGCTGGCGCCTCCTCCAACAACGATTACATCGAAGAAGCGAAGGAATACTTCGCCAGCAAGATGATCCAATACGGCGAAGGCACGGAGGTGCCGATAAAAAGCCTCCTGGGGCATCGAAGTCAAGCTTCCCCGCAGGTGCGCCACATCTCCGGACAGCGCATTAAAGAGTTCAAAGATTTCCTCTTGAAGCATCCGGACACCTTCCAGATCATCGAAGATAACGTTGTTCTAGTCAGTGAGAATCATAGGCGTGATAATGCACATGGCAATTCGGAGCAGTTTCATAATTTGCCTGTTGCTAATATTAACACAGACACTGCTCAGCAATTGTTAGATTATGTCGCACAGTGCATTGAAGCTAAGGGTCCCGTTATGGTGGACCAACTCTTTCACTTAATAGTGTCACGCTTCCCACAGGAGTACTGGTATCAAATGTTTAAAACACCAGCTGATTTAAGTGCTTTTTTGAAAATATTTTCTGATAGCTTCCATGTTCAATCAAACCTTGTCACTTTAATAAGTAAACCAAAAATACCTGTTATGTATCTAAATGCAAAAGCAAAAGTAAAGACTGATCCACCAAAGCAAGTGATAGAAGAGAAGCCGGTGTCCCCTGTACCCCCTGTGCCTGTGGCGAGTCCCACTCCTTCAGATGGCATGAAAAGTCCCGCAAACAGAATACTTAGCCCTATAGAATCTCCCCGCAGTCCCCATCCACAAGCCAACATAGCCAACCAAACACTTAAACAAAGAATTAATTCGATTGTAATCAAAAATTTAGCAGAAAACATGGTAAGAGACAGAGTCAACAATCATTTAAATGCCCGCTCTGCTGAAGATACAAATGGCATGGCTAGCTTACGAAATAATATGATGGGTGAGGCTTGGCGGCAAAAAGTTTTACAAAGTGCAACAGTTATAGCAAATGTAAGGGAGTGTGCTACTTTAATAGACAGCATCATGAATACAAAGCGCACTTCAAAAAGCATAGTTTCTTTTGATTGCGAAGGCATAAACTTGGGCCTAAAAGGAGTATTAACTTTATGTCAAATTGCTACAATGAATGGTGAAGTGTATATTCTTGATATCCTGGCCTGTCCTGGGATGGTAATGGAAGGCAAAATTAAGGATCTATTAGAAAGTGAAAATGTAGTTAAAATAATTCATGATTGTAGAAATGACTCGGTTAATTTACACAATCAGTTTGAAATTACTCTAAAAAATGTTTTTGATACTCAAGCAGCTCATGCTGTATTACAATTACAACAGCAGAATGTACCGGTATACAAAGTGAAGAATCTTAGTCTGAATGCACTCTGTGAATTGTATAATGCTCCAATGAATCCTATGAAAGAGCAATTAAAGAATGTTTATAGAAGAGATCAGCGTTATTGGGCTCGCAGACCTCTCACAAAAGACATGATTATTTATTCAGCATCAGATGTTCTTTCTCTTGTGAATCCAGCCATATATGCTTATATGTCAAGCAATATAAAGCCTGAGAATCAACAATTATTTGAAGAATTGTCTAATGAACAAGTCTTTATGCACATTCAACCAACTGAAGTGAAATTGAGGAAACGACAAAGGAAAATAAATACAGAAGTTGGTGAATTAAAACAAAAATTAGCTGAAACTACAAAAAACATTGTTTTAAGTAATAGAGAAATAAGGTTGCTCCGGTATTTAGAGCTAACTGAGGAAGAAAAAGAAAAATTAAAAGGCTGTCATAAAATATCTAAGAAGTTAGAAAAGCTTGAGTCAATGGGCCAAGAAAAAGACAGTGATAGTGAAGATGATGAAAAAGAAAATGAAATGGCAAGCCTAGAATCGAATCCATCAGACTCAATATCTTCTCCACACTCGACACAGCCACCGAGCCTCACAGAGTCTATGCAAATGATGGATGAGATACTTTCAGATACAAACATGGACAAAGTAGAAAAAATAAATCGTTTAGAAGCCATCCTCTCAGCAGTAGCCCCTCTAAGTGGAGAATTAGAAGATAAATTCTCCCAAACAATGGAACAAACATTGCCATTACTGAAAAACAAAGATTGGTCAAACTTAAGCCAAATTTTGAATATTGGGGAACCAGACAGGAAGAACTGTTGCTGCAAGTGTCATAGCTCCGGTTACGACGACGTCAAATGTAATGCTCTCAACGAAACCAAGAAAGCAGAGGTCGGCTCCCAGACCCTGAGTACAGGGGACATCGTCATCACAAGGATTCACTTTAGAGAAGAAGACAAGCTGAACGAGAGGATTCTCGATGCCTCTCCCCTCAGTAAGAGGGTCGGTATCAACATGTCTTGATGACGCTCAGGCGAAAGCATACTTCCATTTTTCTGAGTGCCACAGTTTAATTTCGAAACTACTCCCGTATGTGATCAATTACCTTTTTTAACGTAGTGTTTAAGTTTTAAACGTGTAGAATCTTAAAGTGGGTTTATGGTCTAGTTTACCGCGTGTCCGATAGCGGTGTATTTGTTCAAGATTGAATTAATTATGTGAGGACATGCATTAGTGAGTTCTGAGCGCCTACGCGCCTGCTCATTGAGCGGAGACGGCACTCGCCCGAATGCAACGGTTATGCGCATAATACTTGGTAATTCCTTCACCTGGAATCGTTAGACTATCGGGACTTGATGTTTTAATCACTTATTTTGTAGTTATTTATTTGGCTATTGCCGAATCCCAAACCTATATATTGTGATAGTTTTTGGCCTTGATTTTTTTTCTCGATCATTTGCATTGTAAATAAGATATGTAAGATTGTTCTCGTAATCTTCTCTTAACGCGACATGATCGAGTGTCGATAGTGCGAATATATTTATCACGTTTGTTTTGTTTTCGTAGCTCTTGCTACTGAGACTATATCGAAAATGGCAATAATAGTTATACAATAAAAGTTTTTATTGTTCAAATATTTAACAGAATCGTTTAGATGTATTCTAGTGTTTAATCATTTACGTAGCTTTAGAATTGAGAGATATAGTGTGAGGTGGTGCTTGGAAAAATAACTTATTTTAGGTATAACGTTAAATTAACACGTTTGTAAGATAGCGAAGTGTCTATTGTTTTTTAAAATAATTTTGTGCCTTCGAGTCATATCCAACGGATGCCTTTGAAATACTAACGTGGACGTGTAGCTTTTATACGTATTTAGGAAATGTACACATTCTTTAGACGAGATTTATTTATAAAAATTCTCGATATGTGTAGGGTTTTTACAAAACGAAAATTGTCATCTACTATTGAAAGCTGATGTGAATTAGCTTCATTGTAGGTAGATGTTTCTAAGCATGTTGACTTGTTTCGAATAGTTTATTTTTATGTTAAAAGTACATAATAAATACGTTACTTAAGTGATATCATATACTACGCTTGATTTACTAGTTGCTTATATTTATTAGCTTTTTTAGCTTTTCGTGTATTACTCATCAGTATTGCCTTCATCCAACCTCGTTTCCGTGTAGGGAAATACAAACAATATGTTTCGCTTTTTAAATGATGAAGTGTAAAAAAATTTTTGGCGTCCATTTTTTTTAGAAAATGAATAAATTTTTACTTTATTTGTGTATAACGCTGCACAATTTTGAAAGTTTTTGCATACATTTTGTATTTCGCAAAATATTTTTTCAGTGCCACTAATATTTTTAACTTGTAAGGAGCATTTTTAGCCAATGTAAGCCGATTGACTGTTTGTTAAATTAACCTTTTAAACACTTGTCATGTAAGAGCCAAGTTGTCGGTAACAAAGATGTAGCAAATTAGCAGTTTATTAATTTGCACATTGTTTATGTTTATTATAAATAAAAAATTTAAAACATTTGTTATTTTATTCATAATACCTGTTAACAATTATTATAAGTAAAATTAAATAATACTTATAAATTACATTTCTTTATTAGAAGCCATGTTTGATTTAATTAATATCTTTATTACGCTTACTAACCACTTTACTTTGGTCATGTTAAAAAAATAATAATTTTAAAACAATTTAATGGATAAATTGAATAATTAATCACGTCACGTGTCAAAGTGGCGTGACAAAATTTTAATCTAGTCCTATTAGGCTAGAAATCTATAGTATGTCATTAATTTTGTTATGTAACTAGATATAAGAGGCCTTCTAACATTAACAGGTTTCAATCCGATTATTACAAGGGTTTTATACTTAATGCTGTAAATATATTGCGATGAAACAGCATTTGTTAGTCTCTAGTTAAAGAGATTAAGGCTTAACCTAAGCAAATTTTAAGGCCTCTTTTTTTAGGATTTCTATAATCCCCACCCCTTACAAAAATAGTAAAAATTATTTATCAACTTATTTTGTATTTGATGTGTAACTAAGCAATAGATTAAACTTAAAAATTAATATTTTTAACTTTAAAACTTTAACATTCAGCAATGCTTAAACTTTATTTCCATACTTATGAGTAAAACTCTTCTTATTGATTTCAACAACAGCTTGTTTTATTATTTAACTAGCGTTAGGTATGCGTAACGTGAAAAATTTTTTGAGCGGAATCCTAATTCTTTTTCTAAAATAAAAGTAGAATACATAATTTACTCCTTATATCATCAGGTATCTGCCAGTGAAAGTCCCATCAAAATCAGGCCAGCCGTTTCGGAGATCACATCCGGAGCAAACAGACAAACAGAAAAAAAAAATTAAAAAATTGTGCTGTTTTTATAAGTGGTACCTACCGTATAAAATTTCATATGCATACATATTGCATTTTTATTTATCTGTGTAGATGTCCGTCTGTTGGCCCAATTTATGATCTTCGAAACAACTGAATCTACTGAAAAGAAAATTTACGATAATGTGTCAAAGACTGCCATGACTTACCAGCTAAAATGCTATTGTGTAGTGTTCAAATAAAACGGTTCTAACGATTTTGATCAAATTTTGTATTTAGATAAATCTTTGCTTTTTAAATTTACTTATATATCTAGGTGTCTTTTCTGAAAAAAAAAACACATTTTTTATACCTTTTCCGAAAAACACGGAACTAAACTCGGTCGCCCAGGCTATATTTTAAAACACCTTAGAAAATAACTCAAAAATGAAAAAAAATAACGGACGAAACGAACGAAATTAATGTTTTATTTAATAATATTATTTTAAAACCAAAGGATATCAATGTGAAAGTATAGATACCTACATTTGAAGTGACCATTAGCATGCGGCTTGCATAATGCAAGAATGCTATGCCATTATCATAAAGTTTTTCTTTGTCATTCATTAGCGGTGCTACAATTCAAGGCGAAGTTATGATACATTTATGTGATAATTAGATCTAGCGGATTTTGCCTTTCTTATGGAGTTTTCTTTTATTACCGTCATATAAAAATATTTATTTTAATGTGATAATCTAAAAGACTTACAATATTTAAAATAGAATATTACAAAGATAATAATATGTAAATCTTATTAAATACTAGCATTGCCCGCGGCTCTGCCCGCGTTCAGATGACCAAAAACCAAATTCTTAGGTTTTACATATTAGTATACTCTTACAATGCAGTTTTTGTATTTTTTCTCAAAAATGAGATATTTTCCCGCGGTAAAAAGTATCCTATATGTCGACCTGGATAACCTATCTAGCTATCATCATACCAAATTTCATCAAAATCTGTCCAGTGGTTTTCTCGTGATACGGTAACAGACAGATAGACAGAAAAAAATGTAAAAACTATAGATTCGAACTCTGTATCGATAATAATGTCTATTTTAATTAGATTTTCCAAAAAATATTTAATGTACAGATTCGACTTAATTACAATTTTATTATATGTATAGATTTATGGTAATAATCAGTCAATTTTGAGATTATCAGTTTTCAAATGCCTTAAAAATATCTTGTAACTTCTTGTTATAATTAATAGGAATTCATTGTAAATAATAATTAATTTAATTATTTATAAGTACCAATTTAACCTGCATGTTACTTTGGCTTTGCGTTTTTATCATGGATGACAAATAAAAGTTTTTATTTTATTTATAAAGCTTTTTGTGTCAGTTAACATGATTTCAGCAAGAGGTTTTAAATTCTACTGCCATAAAATAAAGTATTTATTTCTATTACCTATATTTTATATAGAATAAATGTCATCTGTCAGTTATGACATAAATTTGAATTTGTGAAACCGATAGTTAACTGTTAACAATTTGTTTTTATGTTGTTGAAAAATAAATCTTGAAAATATTAAATAAATAATAGCATTAAAATTGAAAAATATGGAAGATTATGATGTTTTTACAAATGAAATAGAATACACGAAACCAGTATATAAGAATTTACTAAATAAATATGTAAAAGATATTCCTTACACTCCAAGTGGACCTAACTATGAAAGTAATTAATGCTACGAACCATTATTTCTTTTTGTTAAACGTGGTTATGATTTGATTAAATATTAAGATTTGAAAAAGTTATACACAATACTGTATGGTTGCCTGTGATTTTTAGGTGGAAGAAAACTTTTAGGAGAAGAATGCCTTGCTGAAGGCAAAGAAAAAGAATGTGCTTTTCATTTTAGTGAATCTGCATCTCCCACATTACGAACTCTAGCTGTGTACAGGGAAGAGCAATTAAAATATGCAGGTATAGCCATATAATAATTCATACTAAATAGTATTAGTAACACTAAATTTTCATTTTTATGGAACTACATGGTAAGAAAAGTTAACATGATAGACTTCTGTATGAATACTTAACAAATAGTGATTTTGATTTTTTGTGATCAACTTCCAGGTGACAAATTGAGCAAAATTACAAAATATATAAAACCTGTGAAAGAATTAATTGAAGCTAACCCACTGTGAGTATTTCTATTTCTTTTGTAAAACTTTTCCCACAATAATACTTTCTTAAATTTACATGAATATTTGACATTTTAAATAAAACTTTCTCTAGGAGAGACTCTCCCATGAATATGATTGCTGTAAAGCATTCGAAACGTCTGGAACCATAAGTCAAAATAAATTCGTGAATAAATCTGAAAAAATAGTTTTATTTTCGCACAATATTTTGTCACTTACATTAAACTTATATTTGTTAACCATATTGGGCTCTATGGTTTGGGACTATTGAATGTTACAAAGGTTAAATGTGCTACATACTTATTCAAAGCAAGCATCATGTTTTTTAAGTTGCTGATACTGACTTAATTCAGATATGAGTATCAGTGTAAAGACAGTAACTTGAAAATTATATTTTTTTATTTATAATATTCTTAGATCAAAGGAAGATCAACAGTTACTTGAATTTCTACCGGAAGACACAGAAAAGTTGACAGAACTATTAGATAAATATGAAATAAATGATGATCTACCATTCTTCAAGAAATATATGAGATTTAGTTCTGAGAACAATGTTGATAATTTTTGCAAAATCCTTAGTGAGCTACCTAAAGGTAAAAGTATTATTTCTGGACTTAACTTACTTTACTATTAAGCTGCAGAATTTAACAATAATATGAAATAAAGCTAATTTTTCAAATCCCATCAAAAACATAACATGTAAAAAAATACAAGTCTCACAATGCAGTTCTTCTACCTCAAAAAGTTGTGAGATATAATGTAAAACCAAGCTGGTTAATATATTCAGTACATAACTATGTAAGCATCTATCCAACATATAGACACTAGATGTATAAATAAAGTGAAAAAATATTAGTAATTATTTGATGTGAAGTTGACCAGTTTTGAAAGGGATATGATTTAAACATATGAAAAGCTTAACATATTGTACTTTCTGTCAAATATTTGCATAAACCTACAAAAGTATTAAGAATAACCATAGTCGGGTATGACTGTAGTGCTGTTGTTACTTTAATAGCAATATTATGAAAAAGATTTGATAAAATCTTGTACGAAGGAGTTGATCTACTATTATGACATTATCATCCTAAATTCTAAGAAATTATTGGATGAAGTAAATTTTTTTTACTAATATTATTTGAGGTGAGCAAATAACTTATACATTTTTGTATGTTTTCAGAGTGGACCATAATACAATTAACAGCCCCATACAATCCAAATGAGAATTTGAAGCCATTTAATGAGTACAGATCTGAAATTAATTCAATTTATGTAACACTTCTCTCAAATGATTATTTGGACACCAACACCGGCCCCATCACTGTAGAAATACCAGCTAATGTTACTAAAGGTAACTTTCTTCTTTACCTCATAACTAAGGGGGTTCAAATTAAAAGAAAACCCCCTAAATAATATAATTAATATGTCATAATAATAAAAAATATATATCATAAAACAGTCATAGAAACCCAGTTGTAAACTAAATGAAGCAACATTTAGTTTACCACTCATCATCCATCCATATCATCATCATTGGTCATTTTTTCCAAGGTCCTTATGTTGCAAAAAAAACATTGAATAGGACCTGCATGTCTCATAGACTTTACCTGGTTTTCAAAAGACATGTTAAGTCCACCTACACTTGACCAGGTTTTGTTAGGACTTCATGGTTGCATGCTTATAGAAAATATGTGACTCAGTCTCACACTAGTTCATATTGTAATTGTTATTTAATATCTATAAAAATAAATAAAATTGGTGTCTGTTTGTAATGTTATAATATAGCTTTTTACTAAATACATATTAAATTATTTACAGTACTTAAAAGAAAACACAATTTTTCTAATTTTTATGTGTCTGTTTGTTCCGGCTAATCTCCGAAATGGCTGGTCTGTTTTTGATAGGACGTTTACTGGTAGATAGCTGATGTTATAAGCAGTAACTTAGGCTACTTTTATTTTAGAAAAAGAATTGGGTTCCATCTAAAAAAAAATAGAACCGAGGGTAAGTCTCTAGTTTAATAATATAGTCTCCTATTTTATCAATACGTATGTAGCTCAAACCAAACTATCAGTGCACAAAGATGACTCGCTCTTGCCCATTGATGTAACTAATATTAAAAAAGTATCTTATGTTTAAAGGAGAAGAGAAACCCTTATTTAAAGAGCTTTATGCTCTGTTGGAGGAAAATTACAAGACCATAGACAATGCTCAGTTCCTCAACAATAAGAGATTGGTGCAGAACTACTGGGCCAAACGGGAAGACATAGATTTGAGGATGAAAGTAAGTTTAGTAATGTTGATCTATGCCAATATTATAAAGCTATGACAGCTAATGTTTTATATAGCAACACATTTGATTTTGGAACTACCAGTCCAATTTGAAAAAAAATGTTCACCTGCATAGCTTTATTATATAAAATTGCTCCTCTACTAAGGGTCGTAGCATGATATTAGTTGCTAGAACTGTTAGCTACCCTTCTACAATAAATAATTTGATGTTGTAATTATAAAACGCCTGAACTTGTGTCCCACCGGAGTATAAGAGAGACAGGGACAGACACTTGCTGTTTGTGTTTTCACCTCTTACTTGTGCTTCCGCACTCTCTCACTCGCCTGCACTATAATATCTTCTGCAGATGGCTAGTCTGAGATTGGAGGTATGGTATGATATGGTATAAACGGGTTTGTTTCCGCAACTCGACGTCTGCGCGCCTATTTTGCGTGGAGATTGGAGGTATTGGACATATGTAAATAAACCATGTGCTTTCAATTAAATATTAAACTATTAACTATTTAACTTTCTTTTATAATAAATCATTATTAATGTTATGCTATTATTTTACTAAATCCTTTGTTTAGGCTCCTTTGATGGCTTATATGAGTCCCTGTATGGGACTTACAGTTTTTCTAAAATTCATTTTTTTTATTGTTAAGGTAAATCTAAAATTTGCAAAATGAATATCTAAGAAAGTATCATTCTTTTTATTATTAAAACTATAAAATAAATATTATTATTTATTTTCAGAGTGTAATCAATATAATGTATAAAGAGTGGTTGGGAGGATGGTCGAGCTTGCTCACCGGGAAGCTTGTAGATAATGCTTTAAAGGAGAGACTTGTGAAATTAGTTGATACAGCTATTGCGGACTGGGGGTAAGTTAACAAACATCAATATTTATTTTATTATAATGAAAAAATTAAATTGAAAAATGAATTTTTAAATAAAACTATTTTTACGGATTTGTATACGTATTTATTTCGTTTTTTAGTTGCGAATTTAATATAGATATTTTTTAGTTTATTTGCAAATATATATGATTTGGTCTCTACGTTTATAATATTATTTTTGGCAGATTCATAAAATTGACACAAAAACAAAAAATTCTTCTTTACAATCTGTTACAAAGCAGTGCAATATTATCGTCACAACAAATAAAATCGTGTATAAGGAAAATTTTAACTGAAAATGGCAACACTGATGACGTCAGAGCGACCATAGACACGATCGACTGTGAAAGCTGCACAAAAGATTTTAAATTCCTAAATGAATTATGTTTAAAGTGTTTATCAAAAAGTTTTGAGAAGGTACACAATTTTACATTAGTCGATGGAATTAAAGCGTTCTCGCAAGTGGCAACACTGGTTAAAGATAGCGATGACTGGGCGGAGCTAAGGAAGGCCAAACGAAATCCTGTGATACTTATTGTGGACGAAGTGAGTGATGTTATTTTTATTACCATATTTTTGTAATTAAATCAAAAATGATACATTTTTAATCATAAAGGAGCAATTTAAAAAACCTTTAAAGGAGTCTCATCAGTGAACGTTTTTTTTAAACTATATCAAAAGCATTTTATATTGATCTACTTCAGTATATAATCCTTTCTAGCGTCTTAGAAAGTGATCTGCATAGTGAATTGATTGTTTCTTTGATTGAAACACAAGTATGTAACATCATTCCACATTAAGTAATATAGGTTTATTAGAACAACTAAAATATTAATAATTAATGAAATATGTATCTGTCTCTCTTAATGAAAAGAAAATTGAAAACGTACAAATGAATTCACCTTGAAAGTCCATCTTGAGATTCATTAACGTTTAAAACTCTAATACTGTTTTGACTAAAACATTTGTTATTCCACATTCCAGATGCTGGACTCGTTCCCATGGGAAACCCTACCCATCATCAACCAGCATCCCGTATCTCGAATAGAAAATATCCATTTCCTATACATGCTGTATAAGGAGCACGAAGAGCACATCGTCGATGGACACTTCCTCACTAAGTCAGATGTCGGCAGATACGTTATAAATCCTGGTTAGATTTTGTTATTTTACTACGGTTTAAAGTAGTGGTTGCTCAGTGTTAACGCGGTTGCTCAGGAAACTTGAGTGAAGCGGGTTCAAATCCCGGGTCTCGCACCTCTGATATTTTCATGTGCGAATCATTCCAAACTAAATTACCACCTTGTCTTATGGTGAGAGAAAACATCATGGGGAAACCTGCATGTTTGAGAGAACTTGGTGAGTTTTCGAAAGACCGCCCACACTTGGCCAGCGTGGTGGACTATGACCTGATCGCCCTCTTATTGGAGGCGTCCCAGCAGTGGGACGTTAAATACATACAATTTCTACAGAAAGCAATTAGCGCCAATCCGTCACTCTGTTTCGAGGTGAAAGAAGGACAAACAAACAAACGCACTTTCACATTTATAATATTAGTATGGATATGGATTCTTTAATGTTAGCGTGATTTGAAAATGTGATTTTCAGAGAAGAATCTAGAAAGAATGGAGCTGAGGATGAGTTCGTTCGTGAAGTACTGGTGCAGCTCGTGGCGCGGACACATCGGGGAGCCCCCGCCGCCCGACGTGTTCCTGCAGTACCTGACTGAGTCTGATATATTTTTGTTAGTACTTAAATTACTGCTATTATACTATTTACTGTATATAGAAATAAGTCTTTAAACTTTCATGATCACTGACAATGTTATTGGGGTGTAAAATGGGATATTAGGCGTGTTTGGAATTTTTTTCTTTGATAGTTTTGATAGTTCTTGTGACCGCTTGGGGCGCTTCTTATAGTGCTGAAATATCGAGAACTCCGAAAAATTGCTTTTATTTAAATCTAGCTACTTTTTCTCGCTTTGTTCGGGTTTATAAGTTGAACGGCTTAGGAACGCATAGAGTAAAAATTTACGAACATTTTCTATTTAATATGTAAAATAAAAATTCCTGATACTTCCATAAATTTATCTGAACCTTTTTGAAATATGTATATCTTTTCGGATGTTATCGTGGATTTATTTGGATTTTTGGTTCCCGACGTTTCGGAATGCTTCTCAGCAATCATACTCACGGGAGAGACTAAGGTTTTAGTTAAAGGTTTACTTAAAGGTTATATTCTTAAAGGTTATATACACAGTTGTGTTAACACACCAGGTACTGCGGGCACGGGGACGGATGCCACCTGGCGGGCGGCGCGGGCGCGGGCGGCGCGGGGCTGGAGGGCGCGCGCGCGCGCTGCGCCGCCGTGCTGTCGGGCTGCGGCTCGGCGAGGCTGCAGCGCGCGCCTGGCCGCGCGCCCGCCGCCGCCGTGCATCACCAGCTGCACGTGGCGCGATGGTCGGTACACACACACACATACACATACATACATGTATGTACGTACATACACATACACATGTATATTATTTTCCTGTCCTACTAAGACTTCTTTGTCTCAATGGTTATTTGTCCAAACAGCAAATTTGCCGAATAGCTAGTTAAATAATAATGAAATGTTTAATACGTTGTAAGGTATTTTGAGGGAGAAAGAGAGAGAGAGAAAGCTAGTAAAATAATAATGAAATGATAATTTCCCAGTCCGCTGGTGGTGGGCATGCTGTGGGAGGTGACGGACCTGGAGGTGGACAAGGCGGTGAGCACGCTGCTGGCGCGCGCGGTGGCGGGCGCCGCGCGCGCGCCCTGGCACCGCGTGGGCAAGGCGGGCTGGAGCCGGGGCGTGCTGGGTACTAGCACCACTTGTTTGTTTATTTTTTAATAAAACAAGAATTTATTTTGATTTTTAAAATTGTTCAATAATTTATAAGAAACTAGAGACTCACCCTCGCTCCGCTCGGGTTCGTCTCTTACGTTTTAGCGTTCAGTATAGATTTGTCAGAGATGAGATATTTTCCCGCAGTAAAAAGTATATGTTGAATCGGATAACCAGCTATCATCATACCAAATTTCATCAAAATCTGTCCAGGTTTTTGTGGTTTTCTCGTGATGCGGTAACAGACAGACAAAAATTCTAAAAACTATAGATTCGGCCTCTGTATCAATAATAATGTTTATTTCAGATTATCCAAAAAATATTTAATGTACAGATTCGGCATAGTTACAATTTTATTATATGTATAGATAAAAAATGGCACTTAAAGTACCTCATAATATTTGTCATTTTAAAAACATTTTAATAAAAGTTTCAATTGAATATTATTTGAGTTCATACCCATATGTTTGTCTCTCTGTCTGTCTGCCTGTTACCTTATTACGCGTAATCCGCTGAAGCGATTTAGATAAAAGTTGTATGGAGATAGTTTAAGACCCCGGGAAGAACATAGGATAGCTTTTATCCCGGATCTTATCCGTTAAGGAAGTGAAAAGCAGGATGGAATTTTGTATGGGGAATCAATTATTTCTCAAGTAAAGAATATATTTGTTTTTATGTTTTTAAATACTTACCTTTTCCATACCTAAGTATGTACATATATATATATGGAATAGATTATATATATATATATATATATATATATATATATAATCTATTCCATACTAACCGTTAAAACGTACCTAGTTCACTAATCATTAGTTATGTATAATTCTTATTATTTTTTCATTTTTTTTAGATATTATATAATGTTACTACACATTATGTACTACATATATTTAAAATACCATAAAAAAACTATCGATCTATTTATCTCTATCAAATGACATCAGGTCAAATCAGATGAGAATTAATATTTATATTCCAGAGGTGCCTCCAGAGGCAGCGGAGGGTGGCGCCGAGACGGAGCCGTGCGAGCGCGAGATGCTGCGCGCTCTGAGCCGCGCGCGCGCCGCCACCGCCTTCGTCATGATCGCCAGCAGCCTGGTGGCGCGCGGCCTGCCCCTGCGCGTGCGGGGCTCTGCCCCAGGGGGTAGGTTTGCCTTTTTTTTTTGATTCGTCGGGAAATCCCTTTACGAGTATGTGGGACTCTTGTCGCGAGAAGCTCCGTTGTTATATTACCCGACATAGCCGTTGTTATATTACCAGCAATCTAGTATTGCGAGATGATTTCAGAAGTAGGTCAGGTAGGCCATGTAAAATCCAGTGTACACAGTTTTTCGTCACAGGTCGTTTGAGGAGGTTTTTCACATAAACCTCCTCAAACGATCTTATAAAAAGGAATGCTTTTCCGTTTCTTTTTCCATATCAAGATGACAATTTTAAGAAAATTAAAATAAATATTTTATATTAGAAATGACAACAATATGGAGGTGTCATTAGCGTCCGGCAATCTAGCCGGGCGCGAAGCCAAGAGGTACACTGGGAGATGGCCCACATCGGTGGGCGGTATATCGTGCGGGTTGCTCCCGGTACTGATAGCAGAGTAGAACGCGGGAGCAAACCCTTAGGTGTGTGGTTTGCTTTCGCAGATCTGCCGTCGGGGCGTCGTGGTTGAGTGCGTTAGTGATCCTGTGACGCCCCATTAATACGGGTGAGATTTTGTTGGGTTTTAGTCTATATCTCACTAAAATATTATTTTGTTTCAGATCGGGACAAGTTGTAGAAGAGAAATAAAAGTACAATTTTCTTTTTTTATTAGCCATAAAACGAGACTGTCATTATACTAATAATGTAATTTAGGTAGTAATGGAATAATGTAAATAAAATATTTTTATATTTTGAAGATTTTTATTGCGCAAATCGAATTTAATTACCATTTTTAGATCTAAAGCTTCGATAAAAAAAGTACACAATCCCATGCAAAATTCCTCTTAAAACTGTCACCAATTGTGCTTAGGTAATTATTCTAGTTGAAATAAATATGTATGTATACAGCCCTTTTTTTTACGTCCCACCGCTATCGCCGCTACGTGGGCACGGGCCTCCCTTCAATACAAACGGTTGACGAAATAGAAATAAATATACAACAATGTCAATTGAACCTTAGACGCAAGGCTTAAAGTTGTTTTCACAAAAAAATAAATAAAAGCGCACTCAAATGTTCAAATGAGCGCTCATTCGGTGAGGACATTTTTTGTCGCTGACTGTGTATCTAATACTTTTTTTATTCGATGGTTAAAAGCTAATATTATGTGTGTATTACAACATTTTGTAATATTGCATATGATATGTTAAATTTTAAAACAATCGGTAAAGAACTTTCAAAAACTTCCTGTTATCAAACAAGCATTAAGCATATTTTTATGTATGTAGGTGTTCATAATATATTAATATGTATGTATGACAGCGGCGGGCGGCAGAATTATTACCAGGAGGGTGCATCTGCTTCTTCGCATTAAACTACTAACTAATTTTTAAATGATTAACTTTATAATTTTGCATTCATAAATGTAATATTTTATAAAATATCTGTGAGTAATATATTTCGCAGATAACTAAATTAAAAAAAATTACTAATATAATTTTCTTTAACTTTCTCTATTTACTTTCTCTCCCGGCACCCACGTATGTATGTATATATGTACACATATTATGTGGTATGTATGTAATATGTGTGTGTATGTGCGTTGGTTACGAGTGCGCGAGCAGGGGCGCCGGGGGCGGCGGGCGCGGCGAGACGCGGCGGCGGCGGCGCGCGGCGGGCGGCGTGCGCTCCTTGCTCTCCGCGTACTTCTGTACACACTGGGGAGTGGGGAGCGTATTATGATCATTTATAGAATGTTCTTGATATATTGATATTGATTACGAATTTATGCCCTTTTAGAGTTATGTAATTTTAACATTTAACTTGGATTTTATTAATTGAGCTTGATTCATGTATGGACCTTTGGTCTATACCAATGATGGGCAAAGTATGGCCCGCGAAAGTATTTCATCCGGCCCGCCGAGGGTCCATCGACATGGATAGTATATGGCCCGCTATAATTACGTTTCGACGGTCGAGGTAGATATAAAAACAATACAGCATTACACTCGAGTGTGTAAAGCTGTATTGTTTTTATAATATTATGATTAAAAGCTTTAACACAAAATGTATTTTTTCTATAATCCTGGCCCTTCTCTAGAAATTCTTAAACTTTGTGGCCCCCAACTAAAAAAGTTTGCCCACCACTGGTCTATACTATGTGCAATAGGATGAAAGAAATACATCATTTCTCAATAATACTAATAATAAGATCAAATAATTATAATAAGACAACCAGTTTTTTGTGATTTTAAAGAAATTTAGTGACTAATAGTTTGATTATAAAAAAAAAGATCAAAAGTAAACGAGGGAAAATTAACAAAAACATTCAAAACTTTTACTTTTACTTCTTCTGCAATGTTTAACTCTAGGACTTCTAGTTTTTCCAAAAAAATTAAGGATTATAAGTACAAAAAATGATTAAAGGCTATTTCATCACCTTTTGAGAAAAAAGAAAAAATATTATTAAAAAAATATTAGTGTATGTATTGAAGTCAAGGTAGTTAGAAACGAAGGCAGATAAAAGGAAGTAATTCCGTTGTATCAAATCAAAGACAGTCCATTCTGCAGATTTTAAGACCTTTAAAATTATAAAAACCTTATTAACTTAACGGTTCTCAATGAACTAGAAAAAATAATATAATAAGTAAAAATAATATAATAAGTAAAAATAATATAATAAGTAAAAATAATATAATAAGTAAAATGCTTACTTCATCGAATTTGATAAGTTCAACCATTTCTACAATTTTCTTCTCCAAGCCTTTGATGTAAAGACGAGCATTCGTGGTGTTGATGTCTAACGACTTGCCCAGTAGTTTCAACAGCGGCAGGGAGTCGCAGTCGGATGATCTGTTAAAGTAAATAATATAATACTCGTAATATATAAAATAATTTGTTCATATACTTAGGTACTTTTTTATATTATTTATTCAAACAATATAATCTGCATAGTGTCAGTGTGCCATTGTTTGTCTTAGCATGGATATGTGTGTATGTATGTAACGATATTTAAGTATGTATAGTGTATACATATATTTGTATGTGTGTACAAATGCGTGCCGGTTTATGTGTTTGCGTGCATGTATGTGTGTGTGTACTCACAGAGCCAGCGCCTGCACCTCCCGCAAGAGCTCGGCCAGCACGTCGGCGGTGCGGTCGCAGGCGGCGCGCAGGCCGCGCGCGCTGTCGCGGCGCGAGCGCAGCGCGCTGCGGAGCGACTCCACGCTGTCCTGCTGCTTGTACAGCTTGGCTTGGTGCTTGGCGTGCTCTTCGTCTTTGTTGTTCATTTAGTTTGTTTAAATAGAATTTTTGTTGGTTTTTGAAAGGAATTTTAGTTGTTGTAATTTATTAATGTCTTTATAAATATATTTTTAACCCCCGACACAAAAGAGGATGTTATAAGTTTAATATGTGTATCTCTGTATTTGTGTGTCTGACTGTCGTCGTTTTTTTGTCTTTGAAAGGTTTTTCTTGATTGTGTCCTTAACTACAAATAAAGAAAATCCGTTCAGCCGTTTTTAAGCTGCCAGCGCTTTTCTAGACTGTAAAATAATATAAACAACTTCCATAGATCTAAGCGATTCGCAACTTGCTATTCCGTTACTTCAATGACATTGCAACGATATGATAACTTTGGCCTGATGCTCCAGCGTCACCTGGAATCTAAAAGCTATTCAACTCTCTACTAAAATACTACAGAGATATCTATTTCGAGATTTTGATTCGAAACAGAACATCGAATTTTTTTTATTTATCTTGCTAAGAAGATCAATACACCTTTCAAACAAAAAAAAAACTTATTTAAAATCGATTAACCCGGTTTAGGAGCTATGATACCATAGACAGACACACAGATGACAAATGATAACAAATAAAATGATTTACAAACGTTAAACTTAAAACTCCCCAATTTTTGCGTTGGGTATTAAAAATATATTTACCAATATTGTTCTTCAACATCTTCACATTATCACTGAGGTGTTTCAACTCGGTATTCACTTCATTGATATAATTGAATAACGCGTAGTTTTCTTCTTCACGTCGCGTGAACTCTTGTATCAGCTTATCTACGTCTTCTTCGCCCGTGTACTCCTTTCATAGTAACATTGTATTTTACTATTAAAAAGAGTTAAGAATAATAACGATATGTACTTCTATAGATTTATGCGAATATTTCACATCTATACATACCTATAATAAAATTGTAACTAAGCAGAATCTGTACATAAAATATTTTTTGGAAAATCTTGTTGAAATAGACATTAACACAGACAGAGCCCGAATCTATAGTTTTTAGAATTTGCCAAGTGGTGGACGCTTCCCGTTTATTTGTACAAAAGACTCCTCGAGCGAAGCGAAGAAAAATTGCCAGTTAATAAATTAAAGCTTTTTTAAAATGTTAGGTACATTAGTATACACTATACATATTGAAATTTTAGTGGCTGGAAAAAATTAAACAAATAGCAAACGTACCTTAATAGCATCCAATATGTTAACATAATTATTATAAGCTCGTATCTCTTGCTCTTGTTGTTCCAGCTTCTTCGCTTCTGCCTTCGCATCGGCAGCAGTGAGGCGCACTGTGCCTTTAGTTCGAAGGAACTCTTCTAGCTTCATACTGTGGTCTAGCTGACGTTGTAGCTCTCTTACTTCCTGAGATGTGTAAGAAGGCAATTTCATTTTTATTGGCAAACTAAGATTATCAATGCGAAAGCAACTCTGTCTGTTACGTTTTCACGCCTAAGCCGCTGAACCAATTTTGATTAACTTTGGTATAGAGGGACGGGACCTTAGAGAAGGACAGAAGGACGTAGAATATCATTTCTCAAATTAAGGACAATAAATTTATCATAACCTAGAAATTTGGTAAGAAATAAAGAATATACATACCAACTTTTTTAACCAATCAAGATAAAATAGGGGATGACTTCAAGTTTTTTTGAAGTACTTATGTACCTACTTTTCTATACCTATGTATACATAGGTATATAGTCTATTCCATACTAACCGTTAAAACTTATCTAGGGACGAACCCGAGCGAAGCGAGTCGCTAGTCTAATAAAATAATTATCAATTACCAAGCAATGCTTCCTATAATCCATGGCAGCTTTCTCCTTCAAGGCGTCCAGCTTGGCGCACCACTCCTCGCGCTGGTCGTAGGTGGTGATGGCTTGCTCGACCAGCTCAAGGATCTGAGCTTTGCCCTCCATTAACCTCTTTATTTGGCCTTTCCACATGTTGTTGAAGAATTGACTGGAATATATACTCGTACTTTCACTTAGGCCTAAGCAATAATAGCAGGGGCAGTGATATATCCCGTTTGAAGATTTTTAACAATTTCTAACGTTTCAAACAAAAGTTTCAAATTCATGCCGATCGAACCACTTTCTTTGGTACTTATTTTTATTATATAATGAAATCTCTTATACTTATACCATTTTTTGTTTCTAAGATCTAGACTACTCTAGTAAAGGAGGTATTGAAAAAAAAACGATTTTTGTACATTTACCCGTTATGTAGTTATAAGGATATGAGGTTATGTGAGACATTTAAACCAACATATCAAATGCTAAAACAAAAGTTGTTATGTGAAAGTTTGTAGTTTTTCTATCTTCCCTCCGATATTAAGCCATTTTTACCTTATTTGAATTTTGATGTTACTCTGATCGCCTCTGATTGCCTGTCAATGATTTTAAAACAATAAAATCAAAAAATACAAAACGGTCACAGGTCAATTTGGATTAGAATGGAAAATGCAACATTAGATTTTAAGTAAGTTATTCTTATTTCTTAAATAGGTATATTATAGAAAATTATTTCTTTAAGCTTTGATTTAAAGCAAGTAAAAAGGCCAAACTTTGTAGCTTTTCTCTATTTAGGTACTTAATATCTAGTCTTCTATATTAATATTATAAAAATAAAAATAAATAAATAAGTTTGTGACGTTGTAGGGGATAATGTCTAGATCTACTGAACCGATTTAGATAAAATTTGGTAAGAAGATAGTTTGAGGCAGGGCCTAGGATCCCCCCCAACGTGCGTTCACCTTGTCGTGGTGGGGGGCTCAGTAGTAGTAGCGAAGCTAAGAAACGCACAGGGAGGTGGCCCACTTCGGTGGGCGGTGGGAGGTGGCCCTCTTCGGAGGGCAGTGTACCATGCGGGTTGCTCCTGGTACTTCTCTGATAGCAGAGTGGACTGTGGAGCAACCCCGTGGTTGTTGTGGTCTGCTTCGGCAGACCTGCCGTCGGGGCGTCGTAGTTGAATGCGTAAGCGATCCTGCGACGCCCCATTAAGACGGGGGAAGGTTTTGTTGGGTTTTAGTGGGTAGTACTGGTTGTATTACGCCGGTGAGTCCCACACGTCGTGCGTAAATGCATTTCCCAACGTTAAAAAAAAAAAAAAGGGCCTAGGATACTTTTTATCCCAGAAATCATCCCTTAAGGGGGTGAAAATGGAAATGAAAGTTTGTATGGGGAATCAACCTATCGCTAGTTTTATTCATAAGTTTCGAGGAAAATATTTATCTAGGAATAGTTTTATTTGTAATTTGGCATTACCAATTTTAGCCGAAACTTGTTACAAAAGTTATGTACCTACTTAAGTTAGCGATATTTTACTTCGATAAGGAAAAATCTCATGGTCACGAATCCACTATATTTATGAGAAGTTCGTTGTCCTGGTTAGGGTTATCAGTTTACAGGTTCATTTCTTTGAAAAAAAAAACATATTTTTATGTTATAAAGCGTCTGCTACATTCGAGAATGCTGCAGCAACAAATCTTGCAATCACCCTACTATTAATAATTAGAAATGTGTATGTTTGTTGCTCCTAGAAACGGCTGAATAGATTTGGATGAAAAGTACATAGATGACCTAAACCAACACATACGCTACTATTAGTAATGGAATGTGCTAAAAGCGCTACCTTTAAATAATATTATAAATGATAAAGGCTCCTGGGAACGCGCCCGAGCGAAATGAAGATAAGTCTCTAGAGATGTGCCGGATCGTAAAGTAAATGAAACCGCTGATACGGATACGCATACAGATTATTAGCACCAGGAGCCGTGGATACGGATCTCAAATTTTATACTACGACGCTTTTTGTCTTGAACCGACAGATGCAATTTTCTTACTTTCGCTTTACTCGAATGCGTTCCTGAGGGTATTTTGTCATACATTTCATTACATAATTTTAAACTTTATGCACATTCCAATATAATAAAAATACCGTACGGACTAATTACTAGAAAATCTCTAGTTATTAGTACGTCGGGAATTTTTGTTTATAAGGTCGGGTAAGCCAAATAGTGGCAACCCTAACTCTCACCGGTCACGAAGAAGGCGATCGATCTCGAGTCGCATGCTGTAGTTGTCGCTGTTGACCGCGTTGAACTTCTTCATAGCAGTGTTGAGGCGGTTCTCAAGCTGGCTTATAATGGTTTGGTTGGTCAATGTACTTGCGTAGTCCTGAAATTGTACGCTTGCTTGTATGTAACATAGTTAAATATTTAATTTCTAAGTAAATAGATACACTTAGATGTAATTTTTTTTTAAATTTATATGGGACCGGGGACTAAAAATGCTTAAATTGTTATTCATTAATTAAATAAAAAATAACGGTAACGCGTTACATATAAGCAAAAAAGACAAATAGGTAGGTACACACAACATACACTCGAAATTGTCTTATTAAATTCAAATTAATAATTTTTTATATAATATTGATATTTCAGAAATACAATTATTTTTTGTCAAAAATTTCAACATCTATTTAAATTTTTTTTAAACAAGATAAAATATTAGCACATTGAATGCGCTTGGAAGCGATTATAATTCCAAGGTTTATTCAATTGAACTCAGGAAAATCATTTATAGGTAGTATAGGTAAGCCTGCACACAAATGTTCTTTAATATGCCTTTCAAAGAGTTTTTTTTTAAGTTGTTCAATAAATAACAACTCATAAAATCCTCACAAATCATAACTAATACGTATACGAACAAAAAGATGTAACATAAAAATCGCTATTCAATTTGTTCTTTTTGTTGAAATACATTCAAAAAATATATTTATTTTACATATAAACATACCTTTTCAAATCCAACACCCTTAGACCTCAGAGCCTTTATTTCTTTCTGGACTTGCTTTAAAAGAAAATCTAACTCATTTATAGTGGTGCGATGCTCCTTCACTTCGGTGGAACATTTCTCGTGTTCTCTCAAAAGAGATATCAGTTTTTCCCTTACTTTAGCGTTATCTAAGACGTTTGAAGTGCTTTTGGTGAGCTGTAGAAATTAGAATTACAACTAGAGTTAGATTACTTAATTATTAATACTAAGTTTTCCTTATCAACTAATCTATGTGTCTATATATATACATATATATATATATATATATATATATATATATATATATATATATATATATATATATATAGACACATAGATACTACTATTACTACAGCTTCCCAATACAAACTTACATCCTCATTTGCACCCCCTTAAGGGATGATTTCCGGGATCAATAGTATCCCAAGTATCCTATGTCCTTCCCATCATCTCAAACTATGTTCTTACTAAATTTCATCTAAATCGGTTCTATAGATCCAGAGATTACCCTCTACAACGTCACAAACTCACAATTTTTACCTCTTTATAATATTAGTAGAGATATATACAGGTATACACTCGGTTATCACCAAAAGAAAGAAGATTTATGTAAGGAGGGTTATAGGCTATAATTATTCATGGACATTTTGAATAAATCGGTTATGTTTACGTAAAGCGCATCAAATTTTAAACCAGGTTTTTTTTGTAATTTATATGTTGACCCCTTTTCCTTTTGGCCCTTTTTCCTTATTCTCTTGAGGAAAAGAAAAATGAAATTCAAACTATAAATGGCGAAAATATCCCGTAACAAAACTTCAAAAATATACACACGAATTGAATGCCTTCTCGTTTTTGTAATCGGTAATACAAAAAATATAGAAGTGTAACAAAGAGAAAAAAAATTGCATGTCATGTCTGTACTCTGTACGATACATTCATTGTAAGAAAATCATTTGAATGAAATGCATCGGTTGATTAAATCTATCATCACTCTTTTCTCTGGAGATATCTTAATGAAAATTAACGTTTTAATTAATTTGTATTCGAATAGCTAATGTGAACTGAAAGCGTAGAAAATGGCGTATGAAAACGTTACGTAGGATGGAATAAAGTTTCCTAGATCGTATTATTAGAGTTCCTACTTTAGTTACGGTTAATACTTGGAAACAACACGTAAGTACGTCAGACTATTATGTATTATAAATGCGAAAGTTTGTATGTATTTATGTTTGAAACTCCTGCATGAAAAGGACGGACGATTTCTAGAGGAAATTTAGTACACAGATCGACCGGGCGAATCCAGGGTAAGTCTTTTGGATCTCGTTTGTTTTTAGGTAAAAAAAAATGTTTGAACGGATTGAATGGATCTGGATGAGGCACAGAGAAAGATTATGGTCTGGAATAGCACAAAGGTTTCTTCTTATCTCGGTTTCTTAATGTACGGTTCCCGTGAGATACATTTGTTTTTGTCTAGGGACAAATTCGAAGTGAAGCTAATGTTAGTCGCTAGTATTTAGTAACTGATTGTAATGTAATAAGTGTGTATAAACTATAAACAATTTATCATAAACTATAGAAAAGGTAATTTTTTGTGTCATAATAGTAATAGAGAGTAATAGCTATGATTCTGCATTTTGCTTAGGAACCACATATCACGAAAATGAATAACGGAGCTTTAAAAATAGCGATCTCTTTGTCTACAACGTGAAATAAAAAATGCCGGTGAGATCTGTATATCTATACCTATTACGATATAATATTTCTTATCTATATGTATATATATATATATATATATATATATATATATATATACATATTATGTATATATATTATATAATATGTATATACAATAAAATTCTGAGTTGAATCTCTACATTAAATATTTTTTAGAAAATCTTATTGAAATAGTCATGAGTATAGATACAGAGGCTGAATCTATAGTTTTTAGAATTTTTATCTGTCTGTCTGTCTGTTTGGGAACGCATCACGAGAAAAGGATGTGGAAGAAATTTGTTATGATGATAGCTAGTTATCTGGGTCAACATATAGGAGACTTTTTACTGCGGGAAAATATCTCATCTTTGAGAAATCTATACTAAATACTGACTACTGTGTATAGTAACATAACTGACTACTGTGTATAGTAGTGGATTTATTTGGATGGATTTGGTACATACTATGTATGGCTCAAGGATACCTATAGTTAAATATGGAGTATAATTCATTTTAATAACAAACGCATCGTTTTTGTTCCAAAAAGTCAATTATTATTTATTTAATTAAACATACTAGCGGGCACATTTTAATAGGCACCCCGGATGGATGGATTTTGATTAAATAGGTACTCTATGAACGTAGCAATCTTGCAGCCGGATCTCGATCCATAAGTCAAAGTAATAAAAGCGTGTCAAAAAATGTATGGGACAATATATTTTTACTAAATATATTAGTCAGATTAAAATAAAAACCCTTAATTCGGTCATGATGTTGTCCAACTCCGTGGTAAGTGTCCGTATGATGTTCCTTTGGACTCTCAACGTTGGTTGGACACTGCTCGTCACATTCGCACGGTCTATTTCCATTACACGAAACTGAAAAGTAAAAATGTTAGGTATAAGTTATAACTAGAGTAACTTTGGTAAATTTGGCATTTATAAAAATTGCATAAAAATTGGTACATTGGGGCCATTCAAATATTGCCTACAAGGGGGCGATGTTTCGATGTCATGGGGGTCGGGAGGCGGTTTGGGGGTCTGAATGATGATAACGTCAGTAATATTTATATTTTATGTAAAACTATTTAGAATTTTCCGATGTTTTATGTTCCGGACTCAGAGGAATCTAAAAAATCAAATATCATAATAATCGGTCCAGCCGTTCTTGAGTTATAAATGGTGTAACTAACACGACTTCGTTTTATATATATAGATAATTAATTAAAATTTAGTAGATTTTAATTTGTCAAATCAATGTTTTCAGAACACACATGACAACCTTAGTTGTCTATGCTCAAAAGCGAAAAGTAGTCCAGGATTCTTGTACGACAAAAACTTTTTAACAAAAAAATAAAAACCGACTTCAAACAAAAGCACTAAAAAGTAAAAAATAACTGATTGGTAGTTTTCATTTACTATACATACCTAATCAAATATTTTCGAAGTCGGTGTGCTTTGCTTTGTATGAGCTGGCACCGATTTCGAAAATATTTGATTAGGTATGTATTTAATAGGTAGGCTTTAATTACTTAGCCAAAGCACACCGACTTCGGAAATATTTGATTAGGAAAGTATAGTAAATGAAAACTACCAATCAGTTATTTTTTACCTTTTAGTGCTTTTGTTTGAAGTCGCTTTTATTTTTTTGTGAAAAAGTTTTTATTTTTCCCTGTTTATTGTAGACAGTAGTAGCAAAGTAAGAATTCTAACGTGTTAGGCTTGTCAAACCAAACAAAATAAGCCGAAACTCAAAGTATCTACTATTAGCCGTTGAAGAGTTCCACCTATCCACCTTCTGGCCTTACCATCAGATCAGGTTAACAATACCGAACCACTGTACTATCAACGGAAATAGAAACACTTGCAAAATTTCAAGTCAATATGACAATTAGAAGTAGGTTAAATTCATCATTAGCTATTTTTCCACTCTTAGGGGTGGTATATTTTTTTGAAATTTAAATGGGACCAATCTGGAAGTATACACTTTCAAACAACACAAAAATTGTCCAAATCGGTTAATAAATGACGAAGTTTTGAGGTAACAAACATAAAAAATAAAAAAAATACAATCGAATTGAGAGCCTCCTCCTTTTTGAAGTCGGTTGAAAATGTTATAAAATATGCAATTATAAAATTTTATAGAAAAATTGTATTCTTAAGTGCGTGAGTACATAAACACAGTCTTACGACTATTTATTTAGAATTAGGAATACTTGACATTTAGGACAGTCTCTCCCGTGTCCATCATTGAAACGTCGGGAACCAAATATCAAAATAAATCCGCGGAAAAATCAGTAAAGATACTTTTATTTAAAATGTTAAATATTCGCGTAAATATAATAAAGTATTAATAGCTACACAAAAGAGAATAAAAAAAAATGTTTTCTATGATTTTCAATAATATTGACAATAATCTGCTATGTTTAATTTCAATAGCCAACAGTTTCTTTAAATTAAAAAAAAATAGCAATCGAATTGAGAACCTCCTCCTTTTTTAAGTCGGTTAAAAAAATCCATGTCTACTATCTAGAACCATTACTAATAAATAAATTACCTGTCTCTGAAGCTTGGACAGTTCATCTTCGGCGATTTTCTCCATTTCCACATCATCATTAGGTGAAGACATTTTGGACTTCGAATGTTTAGCAATTTTACGATAACGAATAAAATATTTCACAAACGGAGATTTCAAAAGCTTTTATGGAAGTGATGTTAGTTACGTTTTGATAGATCAATAGCATAACTAAGCAACTAACAGAAGTTGTTAGACACTAAAGTGGGTTAAATCAATTATTAATAGCATATTACATTCATCTTGTAAATTATGTCGAGAACATAATTTATTCCATTTATTCTTTACTAGCAGAACCCACGGATTTGCGTTAAAATTACAAAAAGAAACTCTATGGCTTTATGTTATCTATACTACTTCTTATTATAAAGAGTAAAATTTGTGAGTTTCTGAGATTGTGAGTTTGTGACGTTGTAGGGGGTAATCTCTGGATCTACGGAACCGATTTAGATGAAATTTAGTAAGAAGAATTGAGACCCTGGGAAGGACATACTTTTTATCCAGGAAATCATCCTTTAAGGGGGTGAAAATGGGGATGAAAATTTGTATTGGGAAGCAAGCTAGAGACGAGCCCGAGCGAAGCGAGGGTGAGTCGCTAGTAAATAATAGTTTGATGGCCTTAATGATTTTCAAATGTATCGCATATTTTTAAGGGATGAATTTCGAAGAAATTAAATAAATATATTGCTTATTTTTTATTTTAAAGCTAAATACAAATTTCTGTGTATTTCACATTAAGGATGACAGAGTTTCATACATTATTTTATCCCCTAATTTTCTTACTTAGGGGATGAATTTCGAAAATTCCTTTCTTAACGGATGTCAATATCAAATAAGGAATACGTCCTGCAAATTTCACGTTGCTACGACCAGCGGTTTAGGCTGTACGTTGATCCATCAGGTAGCCACTCAGGTCAAAGCCTTTTATATAATATGTAGATTATATAGGGTAGTCCTTCTGAAAGAGAAAATTTCATTAACACTGTGAAACCTTTCAAAGCTGGCAGACAGAAATGAGAAGACCTAAAAAAGATTTCTTAGGGGCAGATTTTTTTTGACTATTAATCAAATCAATCAAAATCAATTTACTATTGACAAAGGTATTGCATACGCACCAAAAACTACATTAAGAGTAAAATCGATACCTTTTTCTTTTATGTCGGTAAAAAATTATAAGTAAGTACTTGTATGTTTTATTGAATACTCTTATTATTTAACAATTCATTATAAAATAATTATGAATATTAATTCGGCGACGACATTACCTACGTATCATACTAATGAATTGAATAGCACCTCCTTTCTTCTCCTTTCACTATTATTTATTATCATTTTTACACAGAGTATAAACTATTGTTTTAAACGGTTTAGTATTCAGCCCTTTTTAACGTTCCCACTGCTGGGCGTGCGCTTTCCTTCAATACGAGGGGGATCAGGCCATAATCTACCACGTTAGTCTGTAACCAAGTGCGGAGGGGCAGAGCATGTCTTTCGAAAATCCATATATATATAAAATTATATATTAAAATAATAATAGTGCGCTTATCTATTTTCGTGTTATGCTTTATTATCAATTTGTTTCATGTCTACACAGGTGATTACTTAAATACACTAATCACTAGGTATAATTATTTAACTTTTTGTATACGTCACGGTGTCGATTTCAGCGCAAATAATTGCTTTTAAATGATACCCACTAAATCTGACTGAACTGATGAAAATAAACGTAACGCCTCAGATTATAACATACGTTCGTAACGCCTTCTTTTCTATGAAATAAAGCGAATAGCGAATAAACTTTCATACGTGATTTTTTATTTATCATTTGTGATGGGATGAAATTATTATAAAATAACAGAAAAATATACTTACGGTACTTATTCATATAATTTATATTATTTGACGTTTTGAATCTGCATAAAATAATAATAATATTTTTTTTAACTTATAGCTTGCAATAATATCTATAGTTATCGTCAAGAACTTTGCTCAACTATAATGTTGTGAAATTAGCAAATTGCCAATGCCAATTACGTTAAATCTTTTATCCAAGGCCTGTTTTTGCTATGGATTAATTTAAATAAACTTTAAGGACCTGAGATCACTTCCTATAAACTTTAATAAAAATAATTTATAACGCCATTTTGAATTGACCGCTCTCTTTACCTTGATATCGTCTATCTCTTTCTAGCTTAAACGATTTGCAATTACCTGATATAGCTATCTTTTTCTGACGCACGTGTTGGTTCTGATCAAAGAGAAGCTCTTTTAAAATACATACATTGTTAGTAGTTTGATGCCTACTCAAGTTTGTCTTTTGGTATTTTATATTTCAAATATTATAGCAAAAGTTTGAAAAAATAAATAATTTAATAAAAAAATAACATGAAAACCCATAAATAACATGTTTGCGTATTACTTACACGAAATTTTAAAAGGGGCAAATTAGTCATGCATCGTTTAAAAATTATTTTTTAACGGGATATTTGAGGACAGTGGATAAAATTTTATACTTAGAAACTTTTGGCATTTGGGTATTTCCTATTTAAAGAACATAATATAAGTACTTGTTAGTGAAACAGGTCAGAAGGATTTTCCAGGAAAACAAAGATTGGGGGCTAGAATTATTTTTATTGCTTTCTCTGAATGCTCATTTTACATTTATATTAGAATGCGAATCACCGACTGTCCACTTGACACATCAAAAATCTACGTCAAATCCACAAACTGGCACATAAATTACCTGAATGTTACATTAGTTTAAGAGTCTTATCGTGATGATTATATTTATTTGATTAGCACGAAGCCGTGGGCAAGATGGTATTTAATAGGACTAACAACTATGTTTTAATCACACTAACTCATTTTTAAAATATAAAACAATTGAAATTTTTAATCAGTCAAAGCTATCTTTTATTACATTCAAGTAACTAGTTATTATATTTCTATTAGCCACAATACTGCAATATAATTAATAACCATCTTAACTATAAATTCTAATGTAATTACTCATATATTAACAAATTGCTCAAAAGTAATAATCATTTTATAATAATTATTAGCATTTTGGATTATACATATACCTCTTTCAACATTTAACGCAACTTAATCTATGACGCGTCAGGCTCGTTCCACCTCGCAGGCTTCGCGGCGACTTTGTTGTGTCCGAGCCGTCGTCGAGGCAACATCGCTGTCTCCCGCGAGTGAACACATAACGCTCAGTTTCGTGCAGTGCAGTGCCAGTGACACGGAAATGGTTTTTGTGGTCCAATAAAATTATTATAATGGCATTAAAAAAGGATTTTGACCTACCAGTGAATGTTTTTAAACAGATCAAGCTACCAAAACCCGCCAAAATCCAACAGGCGTTCGAGAAGATTTTCAAAAAGAACAACTACACCAAAATAGTGCAGAGTTAATTAATCAGTTGCATAGTTTAGATTAAATGGCCGGTGAACTTAGTGCAATTAGAAGTAGAAAACCAATAGCACCAGACCGATCACCCAATTTTATAACAGAGCACACTGAATTTATAGGTAAAGGAGTCAAGCCTAATAACCCAAAAAGAAGTAGAAGCCGTAGCGGCAGTAGAATTACACCAACAGTTTTAAGTTTATCTGATGAGCTTTTTTACGAAGAGTTAGAAGATTACGTGAGCAAAATGTCTGTATCAAACACAACAATGGATGCTGGCACGGAAGATGTTTGGAGCCAGCTACAACAGAAGGAGTCTGATTTGCTGCTGGCAGCAGAACTAGGAAAGGCTCTGCTAGAGAAGAACGAGGAGCTAAAGAAGGAACAAGAACGTCTAACAGAGGAATATTCTAAGAAATTAGAGGTAAGAATTACAATTCCACGTATACAATCACAAACCGAATCTAATCAAATTTTAATTTATCAGTCCGTCGCGTGCGCTGAAATCGTTAAAATCAATTTTTAATTGCATCGAATTTCGTAGTTTTGTTTAGAAGTTGTTTTTAAACGCTACAGTTTTTAAATACTGGTGTATTATGTCTGATTTGCTCTGTCCACTTTGATAGAGGTCGAGGGTTCGATTTGCAATGTGCAACAATAGGTTGAACGTAGTATTTTATATAGGTTTGGTTAATGGTTTTAAGTCTTATTTTTTTATAAACAGCCATACCATGTATATTTCGAGATTAGAAAATAATACGTTAGTTATTGTTATTTTACATTATAACATTACTATAATCACGGATGACAAAATACTGTACTATTATTACTTGCACTTTATGACGTCGGACAAAGTAAAAAAAAGTCTTGATTGTAATTTAAATATAATTATTTCACCATTATATATGGAGAGAACATTTTCTGGATAAAAGAACTATCTATTAAAAACAAACACTTTTTGAGTCTTAAACCAAAATTGATTCAAACGTTTTAATAACATTTATTTTTATGATCTATAAATATGGCGGACTGAATGAAAATCTAATCGGCTATATTTATCACAGCAACTTATATTTATTTATAGTCTTTCTATTACCAGTTCTTCACAGAACTATATGAATCGTTTTCTAGTGGTAGAAAATATGGCGCTTCACTACGATATGTAATACTAACGACTCACAATCGCTTTGCTCTGGTTCGTCCCTAGTGAAAAACAAAAACAAATCTATCCCACGGAAACCGTTCATTTTTGCGGATAAAAAGTAACCTACGAGTATGTGCTATTCCAGACTATAATCTATCTTTGTGCCAAATTTCATCCAGATCAGTTCAGCAGCTCTGGCGTGAATGAGTAACAAACATTCATCCAAACTTTCACATTTATAATATTAAAATAATGCGATTAATCCCATTATTATGGCATAATATTATGGCAATATACAGAAAATTGAGACTTGCGTGTGTGTTTGTAATGTCATTGAACAACTCTCAATTGATACTAAATGGACTATCGATTTTTTGTTAAATTTAGCATCGGAAAGAAGTTAGCTTTATAGAACCCGCGGCTTCGCTCGCGCAAAAACTACAAAAAAAAATGGTAGGTTTCATACAAACTTTCATCCGCTATTTTGCCCCCCTTATGGGATGAATTTTCGAAAAATACTAAAACACGTATTTAATTATTAATTGTATTGAAGAGCAATTATACCAAGTTTCAAGTAATTCTGTTCATAAATATTTTTTTGGATTGTATTATAACGTGTTTTCCTGTGGAAAAGAGATGATCTCCCGCGCGCGGTAAAAAGTAGCCTATGTCATTCTTCAGCCCTCCAACTATCTCTACATAAAAAAATCACGCCAATCTGCCAAGCCGTTCCGACGTGAAAGAAAGACAAACAAACAAACGCACTTTCACATTTATAATATTAGTATGGATGTCCTTTACATAGGATACTTTTTATTGAAGTACCGATAGCAAAAAAAAGTATTAATAAGTTATTGTATGTAAATATGTTTATACGTTTTTACGTCACTTATCTTCTGTTTGAAACTTAAAATAGATATTATGCATTTTTTTTGTTATATTTTACTCGTAGCCGGCGTTGCTTTGGAGTCGACCGTTCTTTAATAGGCTTAGCCGGCTCGGAATGTTTAAATGACACGGCGCATTAAGGTGATGATTGAAATGCGATAAAAATAGTTTGTCACAAATGGAAAATAACCTAAAACTAATACGAGCTTACATATCTTGTATTAATTAATACAAACATTTCGACTACTTTTTAAACGCGGTATTTTGCTATTAATTATGTCAATTATTAAATTAGATAAAGATATTTACATAATTAAACACAGGCCCATTTAATAAAAACCTTTTGTAACAATAAACACTTATTGAGATGTAAACGTTAATTTTAGACGCCATTATAAATAATGAATTTAATTCGGTTGTAGTTTTTTGTGTGTAGGTTATCTTGGTCAAACTGAATCATTCGTTATGATACTTCTTTTAATAAACAAGTTTTTACCTCAAGGGTGGTTCTTTACTAATTTGAATTAAAAAAAACATGTGTGTGTACTTATGTACGCACGTAAGAAGTTGTACATCTTTGGCGTAACAGAACAAAAGTAGCTCAAGACTTCGCCAATATCACGTTGAATGGAGAAAACAAAGCCCATTATTAAGAAAATACCTTTTTACGCTTATTATTTTCAATTTTTTTGGTTTGGCTTATAGATGTCAATATATTTACTGTGCTATGATATTGTTATCAGTTATCAATCGATATTATGTTACACGGATTGAGATAACATTCTCAATTGAAGTGCAAGTAAGATGACATTATAGGATGAAGCTTGTACGTATCGTTTTAACTTTTACAAAATTATAGAAAATGGCATTTCTGACATGATTGACATGATGAATGACATTTGGAAAAATTTTAAATATAAAACTTTCAGATTATTTAAATACAACTGACACAGCCGTAGCTTACGACAAATTAATATCCCATAATAATTTCTCGATGTATTGGAATAGAGAGTAGTAGCCTATATTTTTATTCCGCCCATAAACTAGGGTATCTCTATCAAGAGAAAAAGAAGGAGATAGAAAAGAGTAACCAATAAACATTTTCGCAGTAATATTAGTTACCCTTACTATTTATCCTTTTAGGGATTGAATTTCTATAAAGAATCTACTTGATAAGTTTTAAATTAGTAGAATTTGGCATTTTATGCGTTCTGACCTTTCGTGATTAGTCAATGAGTGAGTGGTATTTCGCTGTCATATAATAAAAGAGCTCGACTTGGCAGGGGCACTGCTGTGCTCCCAGATATTATGTAGATTAAATAAGGAAGTAATCACTATCTTGCAGATACTCTATAGTTAACAATGTTGTAAAAGATTAATAATATTGTATCTTTGTTCACACAAAATAAAAAAATGTAAAAAAATACTACGAGTAATATGTATATTAAAATATATAAGGATTAATCAAAAAGAAGTAACATAATAATATTTATTGCGAGTGTATTTAGTACATTACGCAAAACAACAGATTTAGCCATCCTACTTGAATACATACATGAGTGACTAATAATATTTTCCATAATATGTACATACCGCTATCACCTCTCGTGATAGAGTGATAACTGATAAGCGTTATCTACTAAGTTAAACACATTGTTATATGATACTTAATACAAAAAAAAAATTCTTCTCAAATGTAATCCTATCTTTACAATTTATCTTTCCTTATGTACTAACTAGCGACCCCTGAAAATAAGCAATGTCTACCTCCAGGTCACAATCTATCTATGTACATAATTTTATCTAAATCCGTCCAGTCGTTTTCGCGTAAAGTAGTAACATACACGCATACAAGCTTTCGCATTAAAAATAATAGTACGATTGTATGCATATTTAACCAAGCCTAGTTTCTGGTTACGTCGCGCGATATTTATACTTAGTGTACCATCAAGACTGACTTCCCCTTTATATAAAAGGTATGAAACATTAAGCTCAAGTTATATTTTATTGTTTATTCCATTTATAATTATACTTAGTTACTAGCGACTCACCCTCGCTCCATTCGGGTTCGTCCCTACATACTTTTTATCGTTCAGTATAGATTTCTCAGAGATGAGATATTTTCCCGCTTTATAAAGTATCCTGTATGTTGACCCGGATAACCAACTATCATCATAGCAAATTTCATCAAAATCCCTCCAATGGTTTTTCCGGGTCGCGTTCACAGACAGACAAACAGACGGACAAAAATTCTAAAAACTATAGATTCGGCCTCTGTATCGATAATAATGTCTATTTCAATAAGATTTTCCAAAAAATATTTAAGGTACAGATTCAACTCGGCTTAGTTGAAATTTTATTATATGTAGTAAGTATGTACTTATAGATATATTGAGTCATGTTGAAAATGCAAGAGTATATATTATGTTACCCCTTATTTGAACCCGCTTCACGTGGCTTTCTAAGCAGTAAGTTACCAATGGACTACTGTCGCTTTCTACGATTTTATTATTTTGTTGTTGTACTTAAGTTTGTATTATCTAGTCAAGAAGATTAAAGCGTGTTTTATTTAATTTGTGAATGTGTCGACTGTGCCAGTACAATTAGGATGATTATTATCAATTTTATTTTATTATAATATTGATTATTCAGAGTCAATTAATAATATATTGTTTTAAAAAAGTTTTTACTGTCTTTACCCTATTAAAAAAACCTCAAGCTTTTTATTAAAGCTATCATATTTCAAGTTTAAATATTATAAATGAAGTTTTCTTTAATTTGAATTCTTAGTTCTGCTAGAACTTCGGCAGCGGATCTGCACTCTGCACACTTAGTTTGTTTACGTGTATTTTGTTCCAATTAAATCTATAGATAGTAAGTTAAATTTTTAAAAATATGACTGGCAGTTCTTATAATAATAATTGAATAAATAAAAAATTCTTCAGTATTATAATATTAGTATAGATATAAGATACGAGATGATACGATTACGTCGTGCCGTTATCTAAGTTAAAAGTTATAACCGTGTCAATAATATGCAATGTTTATTATTTTTTTATAAATGAAATATATTATAAATATATATACAGAATAGTTATAATATATAGTCCAAAAAGATATTAAATAACAAAACAAAGTTAACAAAACACTTAAGAAAAAATTAGCTAACTGAAAAAAAAATGTATATGTATTAAAAATAAAAATGACTTAGTCTAAATACTGTGAAACGAAAATAATACGAACAGAGAGAAAATTACAATGGCATTTTTTAGGTGTATATTATAACCGGTATTGTTCACGCGGGCTAAACCCGTTACCATTGTTTGAGATGAAACAGTGCCGGTACAGTTGCAGATTCCAGCTTAAAAACTTTACTTGCTTACTTCAAGCTT